TACTATTTTTATTTCAACTGCATTATTCTGTGGTATTTTTTAGATGCATTAAAAATTGTATGCCACTATCAAATCCTTCAAATGATTTACATTTGGAGGCGAAAATTAATTTTATAGGCCACAAATTCGAATGGTACTACCAGTTTAATGGTATAAATATAAAACTAGTGGACGACATTGCATTAACAGATGTACCAAAGCAAATGCTTGTAGTAAAAAGAAACAAGTTAAAGTATGGAACAATGTATAATTTTATTGTTAAATGTGAGTTTTAAACAGTACCATAAAATATTAACTTATAACAATTTTATAGAGTTCTTGATAAAATAATTGGTTATGTGATTATTTAACTATTAATATTGTTCTCAGCCAGATTTTAAAATTATTACGTATTTCATTATTATTTTGTACGTAATTTCATTTAAACTTATTTGTAATCGGAATAGTTTATACTTACTTAATACATTAAAAGAAATTATTTTGATATAAAAAAATACATTTTCATCCATGCATTAGATCCAGAATATGGATTGATGAATAACCTATCCATAACAACTGTCTCAAGACCAAAAATTGGAAATTGTATAATACAACCATTGGTCGGTTTGGCAGGAGAAACATTATTTACTATATCATGTATACATTTAAGCAATAAAACTACATTTGAATACTATCAAAAAAATAAAAATAATGAAGCAAGTTTAGGTAAACCACTATGATAAATATTAACTATCTAAAGACATTATTGTAGACATATTCACAATTTTTAATTTAATTTTTAATCGAAGGAGTATTATTAGATCGTAGAAATAGAACTCTGAGAAACTTCAAATTAACCTCATCCAATGAATTAATTTTAAGAGTAATAAGTATTCATAATGGAGCTTATTCACAGATGCATTTAACTGCTAGGGTAAATACAATTTTTGAGTAAAATTAACTTTGATACTTTTTTTTAATGAGAAATTATCATGTTTAGGTATCAGAATGTAATACGCATTTATTGAAAGAATTGTATAAAGAATTAAATATGCACTTGAAAAATAAAGACACATCAAGTAACATAACAATACAATTACTTAACAAATTAAGATATTTTTAATTTTTGAGTTTGGTCACTTTCGTAAAAAAATCACATTTTTTATTATTAATTTTTTTTAACTTGATTTCCTATTTATAAAACTAAAAACATATTATTTCACTTTCAGACTGCATTTATTTTTAAAACCAATGAATAAACCATCCAATTAATTATCCATACCGATATATACAAAATGACATTAAGTAAAAAAATATTGTACCTATAATATATATAAATTAGGTTAGGCTTTAAATTTTAAATTATCATCACATATATTTTTATACTATTATATACAATTATAAAAATGTACATTATAACTTCAATAAAATAATATTAACTTTTTGTGAAAATAATTCAAATGAGCAAAACATATAATAGTTCATTGTTGGTGTTTGTGAAATATGCTATTTACTATATTGTGTATGTAATCATAGGTAAATTAAAAAGATAAACATTCAAAACATTCAAATAAATACATTATATACTTCCCCAGATTATACAATGAATATCCTGATAAATAATTTAAATAAAAGATAGTTATTAAGTTGTGTTTAAGCTTTACATAAACATGATTTAATTGATACCTAAAATACATGAACCAAAAACAATTTTTCTATTGACCGAAAAGGACCAACTAACTCTATCAAAAATGTTATTTTGGGCAAAAAGGTTTACATCAGTAGGTATGTTTAATTATTACATAGTTTATTTTATTTTAGAAGCTGTATCAATAATATCAATTTTGAGTGATGTACTTCGTGATAACCATATAAATCAATTTAAAAAGTTGTTCAAAGCATTAAATAAGGTGAAGTTCAAAACAAAATGATAGTAAAATAATATTCATATTTATATTTATATTTTATTTAAATATTTAACGTAAACAAGTTTAAAACAACATTGTTTGAATCTAAAACAATTTATATTTTGATAAACCAAATAAAAGATATCCAATAAATAAAATTCAAATTCAAAAATATCAATTGAAAACGAGGGATTCTTAGAACTTTAAGAGGTAGGTTATGTTAGATCATAAATTATACTATTATATTAACATATGCACTAAAATCTGTTTTTTAACCCACTTAATAAAGTGTTATAGTAAACAGGTACAGATAAACTAAGTAGAAAAGTACCAGTAGGTAAAATATTGTTGAGATAAATAATGTAATAATGTAATAATGAACAATAAAATAAAACAGTATAAATAGTTAAGTTAAGAAAGTTTAAAAAGCTTATTACAAAAATGTATAAACTAAATAAATATGTTCAAAAAAGGTACTTTACTTGTACTTACTTCATAAAATGTTAAAATATTCAGCAGTTGAATAATTATTTCAAATTAAAATGAGAAACAAAATATATTAAATGTTAGATGCTATAGTTAAAATATTTATAACCCTATAAGAATTTAAACAAGGCCAAAAAATCAAACAAGCCTTTTCAAAACTTTGGCTTCCTACCTATTACAGTCATACCTATTAACTGTCTGCACTATAAATTTAGTTTATCTTACATTACCAATTAATCATACCAATGTTATGACTTTTATTAAACACGAATATTATAAATATCACTAAGTCAAATTAAATTCATATTTTTTAATTTTATTGTAAACATAATATACATTTTATACATATCGTGGAATAAAAAATAAATAAAACAATTTTATATTTTTAATTTGTAACAGAATGAACCTAGTTTATATGAGTTATATAAATATATTACAGTATAATGTTAGCCTAATTATTTTTCTATAATTTATTATTTTCAGATCCCATTACAGAATTGTATTTCTAAGAATATTTTCTGTATTGATCAGTTCGTATTAATTCTTCAAAAAGTTGTTGAGGATTATTATTATGCTAATAAAAGTACAATTAAAGTAGTTGGACTTTTAAGAATAGCCAAACAATTTCTCAAAATTTCTATTGCATTGTTTGAATATATAGAATTGTCTAATGAGTATAATATAATGATAGAAATAAACAAAATAGAAGAAATAAAAAGGTGAATTTTTATCAATTATTATATGAGTACTATATACCTACTTACTAACCATTATTGAAATTTACAATAATATTTTTAATACTAGAAAAATTCGGGAAAATTTAATTTTTATAATAAATAATATAAAATACAACAATAAAAATCCAGATGGTTCTGAACGTTATCTTTGGTCGTCATTTGAAAACGTAATGGTTTAATGTATACAATTATTTAGTTTTAGTAAAATAATAATGTTTTTTTATGCATTATATTGACGCACACATTTCCATACTCCGTTAGTGGAATAAAATCACTCAATATATTGACAATCTTATAAAATCATTTGGAAAATCAGTTATACTCAACCTGAAGAATTACAAAAGAGAAATTTCTTGTGTGGACGAGGATGACGACCTAAAATCATGTGTATACTAACACTCATAATTGAGCAGTGGTGCGACCAAGGGATTTGTTACCGTGTTTAGTGTGTCTGTACACCCCCCTCCCCCCTTGAACCGTATTCATCCAATTTTTTTTAGAATTAATAAAAATGATATGGGGAATCACGTATACAACATTATCCGAAATTCCCCTTGAACAAATTCTGATCGCACCACTGTAATTGAGTATAACATTAATATCAACCATAAAGTATTTTTATTTAATAGGTTTTATTACCTGGGTGGTTTAGAAACAGGTCATCTCAAGTGGAATCAAAATCATTTTTGTATGATGCTATTGGAAAATCATTAGCAAATGAACTACTATTAAAGGGAGACAACGTGGGAATAACAGTAAAATACTTTCTAAAATAAAGTTATTTAATTTGAAAAATTATAAACATTAATTTAACAAGTTTAGAATTATCACGTTGAAAAAAATTTGATGCAAACATTTGATGAATTAGAAGGGATTGAGGTTATCATGCCAATTGTTTCATTAGATTTGTTACATTTTGATAAATCGAATTCAAAAAATATAACCACATACAATAGTTTTAACAATTATATTGATTTAAACTTTGGAAAAAACGAAACTAAAAAGAAACAGACACGAAATTATTCAGTTCAGATTCTGGCACAAAATAGTAACAGCATTAAGTTTGATAAAAATATTTTGGTGTTCAGAGTAGATATGAAAAATATTAGTGAATTATTTGTTACATTAAGTGATCCAACATATGATTTACGAGTAAGTTATTTAAATGAAGAAAACCATGAACACACACAAATGTATTGCACAACTATGTTATTGAAATATTTGTACTACATATTATGTATATTATATATTTATATATAGTTTGCATGGTTAAGAAATACAAGACCAGATATTAAAGTAATGAAAAGCTCGAAGTATGTGATTAATTTGAAAGCTGGTGGAAATAATGAATTAACATTGAAAACACTAAGTAAACATCGAAATGACATACATTACATTGGTGTATCAGCTTTTACGGTAAAATGTTGATCTTCAAAATAAATTCTCCAATATATGATATTTATTATTATTCAATTTATTATTCAATTTATATAATACGGAACTCGCAAGACGCAGAATTTTCAATGATTTGAAAGTTAAAAAATTTAATGACAAAAGTTTATTTTATTTATTTCAGAAAGAAAAATTAAATCGGGGCAAGTACGCTAACTTTTCATTGATCATATATGGTCCGCAGTGTTTGTATTGGAGTGGAGTAAAATGGGCATCTGACGGAATAATCGTAATATATTAAAATAATAGTTGCCTATCTAAGTATTAGTCTTAATGAATTGTAATCAACCATATTCTATAGGTGGGTTCGAATACCACAGAAAATAACATTCACTGTCAATCTAAACATACGACGTTGTTTAGTGGAATATTTTATACTTTACCTGATGTAATAGATACAGTTACAGGCATCAATCATACTGATTCCATTATAAATAATATGGTTTGTCTGATAACAGTTTTAATAGTATTTCTAATATACACAACATTATTAATTTGGTCAAAATACCAGGACAAAAAAGATGTATCGAGGGTAAAGCATAGGTTTAGCAATTCACTATTAAAAACATAAATTCGTAAAATATAGGTAGTGCATTTTAGGGTGAAATTGTAATTCTCCATGATAACTATCCGGGAGAAGATGAAGCTTATTTAGTGACGGTATACACGGGAGACATCGCTGGTGCTGGAACTACGGCTAATGTATGCCTACAATTACACGGGAATATTAGCAGCAGTCGAGTGAATAAAATTTGTATTTTTTTTCTCCCTGATAACCCGTGTTAATAGTTACTATATTTTTAACCGCTTCAGATCCATTGGTTGTACAATTCAGAGTGTGACGTTTTGCAGCGTTTCAATGACGATTGGTTTATCATTTTTACACCAACAAGTCTCGGTGAATTTAAGTCTATTCATATATGGCACGATAATTATGGAAATAATCCTAACTGGTATTGTAAACGCATTGAAGTCACCGATGTGCGAAAAAATAAAAAATGGAATTTCAATGTGGAAAGATGGTTTACGACCATAAGCTCGTTTGAAGATATTGAGCACGTTATTATTGTAGGAGCGCCTTACGATTGGCAAAAAAAACCTATAGATGATGTTGGATTAACTATACGTGAAGAATATCTATGGGCAAGTGTATTTATACGGTAACAACTATAATATTTAAAAACAAAAACAGAAACTAAAATACCTACTACATAGTACTTAGTATATAATACTCCGATGATTCTTATTATACACTAAGGTCAATTAAAAATAAGAAAGAAATATATCCCTATAATACCTATACACTATACAGAGTTGTATAGAATATAGATTATAGACATTTATAATATTACACATTTTTAAAAAATACCGAAGTTTTAATGGGAATCATTATTGACGATTTTCTATGAACGCGTCTACGTGTTCAATGTGCGTGAGTGTGTGGTAAGTTATCATAAAAATGATATGTGACGGTGTGTAAAAGAAATAGCCTTAAAAATGTACGTTTATCTGTACCTATATGTACTCTTTGTCAATCCTACAGATAGACAATAGATTTAACAATGAGATAAGACTTCAGAAAACTGTTTCGCATTTGTCAATATGTCTATTTGAAACCGGACAGGACACATTTTAAGATTTTAAATTTAAATCCCGAATAATCAACAATTAAAATGCCATACATTTTAAATAATATTCAAACTAAATGTAATTATGTACTTATCTATCTATAAGAAATTGGGGAATGAAATTTGAAAAAGTCGACTGTTTGATACAACATTTGTTTGCAATAACTGACCGTTTACAATTCCCTTCATATTATAACTATGTATAATGAAACATGTAATAAAGTCAATAATAATATTAAAACGTCAAGTTTTTACAATTAATATCTTAAGTTTGTATAAGACTTTAAGCAGTGATTTAAATACAACTAATTCAAATTTACTAGAACAAACAAAGTAAAATGTTCTTTTATTATGTTTAGTCATCCAAGATCTTTAATAACACGATGTCAAAAATTGAACAAAATAATATGTTTATTATTGAGTGCAATGGTTACAAGCTTATTATTTTATGATTTTATAGACAGTAAGTCAACTCACAAATAAAAAATATATTTAAATAACATACAATTAATGTTTGTACAGATGACGAAGAAAATTTTTTGAAATTTGAAATAACATATTCTCAAATTTCTATTTCTATACAAGGATGTTTAATAAGCTTATTTATGACGTTTGGCACTAGTTATTGTTTTCAGTAAATACATAATATACTATATATTTTTGGTTTATACCCATTTTAAATTAGTAGGTACTAGTACTCACATTTATTTATAAATAATTTAATTTTCTTTTTTTAAACTTTAATATTCCTAATTAAAACCCAGTCGTACTACATAAGTACACAGTCAGACACGGATCCAGAGCAAAGATCTGGAGGGGGGGCACAATTTTTTGTTAATGTAAAATTACAATATTGGAATCACTGTCCACCATGAACTAAAATAGTACTATCTTAGTTGGTGCACCCCAAAATGTTACGTATAATAATATATTTTATCATCAGACATACATATAATTTTAAATATAGTAATATTAGGATCTGTACAATTATTAAACAATTTGGGAAGTAATATGTCCAGGGGGGGGGGGGCTAGGCCCGCTCCATGGATCCGTCCCTGATATCAGTACTATTTGTACTATTTAATTATTTTAAGTTATGATTTTAAATATAATTTAAAATATTTAATGAAATTAAAATTTAATTATAAAATGGTTTCTTAAATCTATTTCCAGTAAAAGTTCTGGCTACAACAAATATTATGTTGTTCAACAAGAGAAAAAAAATGATCAAATAAAAGGTACATTAAAACGTGTTATAATATATCAGATAAATAGGTGGTTTTAAATCCCTATACACGGGACATAGCATGATATCATAAATGCATATTATGTAAGTTGCCATAAAAGTTAAAGAATTAGATAATGTTAGTTCCAATACCACGTAAAAATTGAAAATGATAGTTCACTTAAAGAAAATTATAGGTCATTTCACGAATACCTACCCAATTTTGTCAAAATTTGAATATCAAACCCTGATAAAATAATCACATATATGTATATTTTATAATTGTATGCATCTATTATAACACCTTGTGAACCTCCTCCTTCCCACCAAAGTACCAAGTTTCTTAATGTTGGAGACTGAAACAAATTCTCTGAATTTCAGATACATAATGACAGACTCATTTTTGTAAGACCAATACTCGCTCGTCTAAGAACCGAAAATTATATTTTACAATCTATCAAACCTGACTTCACCCGTAAAAAAATTAAAAATATAAAATATAGCACTGAGTAGGTGTCATTAACTGGTTTTGGTGGACCTCTCTTCGTGAAATAATTTAAAAATAAATACATTTTTTATGTGGTTCAAACTACTCTCTACACTTTTCTGATATTTCTAAAATCAACTTCTGGGATTTTCAATCAAATTAAGTTGAGTAGTTTATAAGCTACAAACGTGAATTTGGTTTTAAAATATAATTATTAATTTTTTTTATTTGAGGTCATACACGCGACGATTTGATGCATGTTTTTACCACACCGAGTAACCAATTTCAAATACTTGAAACTTAAAATATATTATTATATTGCATATTATACATACATTGACATTTTTTAATTCAATTTTTTTTATCTTAGAAGTAATGAATACATATAACCCCCCCCCCCCCCAACAATGCAAATTCCTGTCAACGGCAATTAGTGGATAACAGTAAAATAAGCTACTTTAATAGCAATAATATATCATTAAATACTTACCTAGATAATATATGGTAGACCGCCTTCGCTCTAATCCGTTTTTTTCAAGTTAACACGTTGACCGCCATGAGCTCTTTTAATATGAGATCTCATGAAACTTTGCCATAGCCGCCACGGGATTTTTCCAAACTTTTACATAAACACTCGTTTGCCAATTTAAAGAAATATTTATTTAAAAAAAAACTAATAATGAAACTTGCAGACTTGTAACACCTACTGACATTGGCGACACTGTACATTTTAAATCCAACGAGAAAATACTGATTATTGACTTCTAGGAGAAAGTTAGAACGAGATGAAATCGTTGGAATCGTTTGCAGTTTATACGATTTCTCAAAATCCTTGTTCAAAAAAAAATGCCAAAACAATATTTGCGTTTCGTCTAGTACACTGTACATGGCTAAATAATTAGGTATGATCGCATTGAGACGAATTTTAGTCATGAGATGCGCACGTACCACGAATTAAGATATCTGGCAGGCACTATTATACCTACATTATTAATCTATATTGCGTGATTTAGCATGGGAAGGAATCTCAACCAGCAGTGATTTATTTAGCCATGGAATTAATAATTTTGTATATTTTAACCTTAGATCATATACACTGGATAGAGCTATGGCGCATGAGCAAAGTATATGATCTAAGCATTCAGTATACCTAATCGTCCTTATCACTATAACACATTATTGTTCCTTCCCCGTCCCGCGCGATATATTTCTTTTCTCACGCATGCGTAATAAGTACTTCGGGCATGAACAGGTCTGCTTCAAACACGGACTACTCGTGATATACGCTATAGCTCTATCCAGTGTATATGATCTAAGTTTTTAACTAATAAATCGATGTGATAATACATATTATGCACAGTCAGTGGCGGCTATGACACCTGCGTATCACAAAGTTGCGATCATACCTATACTCTATTGGCCGAAAGACCAGGACCGTTTCGGGCATACGACTCCCGGAAATACGGGTTAAGTATCCCTTCTCTACGACTAAAACTATTTTGTATGCGTAGTGAGTTCAAATAAACGTTTGTGTCGGCTGTTATGATAATATGCTACGTAGTATACCTATGATAATAATATAATAATATTCTATTATAATGTACATACAACATATTTTTTTAATTAATTATTTTAGAAATAACACGAAACGCTTTCGAACATACGAATTGAAATCGAATAGAGATTATACATTTAGAAATGGTTGGAAGTACCTACTTGGAACTAAAAAATGTGATTTTTATTTTTATACCCGCATAAGAATAGTAATAAACAAAATAAAATAAATTAATGTTTATAATATGGTTTACTTGCTATGTCCTGGGTTGATTGGTGTAGTCGTTGAACTTATCCCAGCTTAAGTATCTTGTACACTTGTAACAATCGACTATCACTGTAGATTATACACAACAAACGAGTGACGACACTAAACTATCTATAAGCTGTCGTTACCTATAAAAGCATTTATTTTATTACATTAACCCTGCAGATATTATGTATTATATTATGTATTATTGTATTGAGTGGTTCCAAATAATACGAAAATAATAATGATGTAGATATCCCACCTGCATTAGAACACAAAACACACTTAGATCGGAAGCTATAAACCAATTCTTATTAAATATAGTTAAGGCGGGTTTCCACTGTACACGTGAGTGCATACGTGCATACAAATCCTTCGCTATGATTTGTTGTTTAGGTCAGGTTACCACACGATTAACCACGTTACCGTGTTGTTGGGCATAGCTGAACATTTTTCGTGTACATGGCACATACATATAGTGGAAACCCGCCTTTAGACATTGCACAAATTGACGGTATACCCATAGGCGGAGATCTTGTGAAGTATTAAGGGGGGCTCAAATATTTGATGACAAACAGACCCGTGGGGGCATTGCCCTCACACCCCCAACAAACTAATTTTTACATTAGATCACTCATAAAAAATTGTTCCCGTTGACTCGTTATCATAACAACTTAAATAGTTACAAACATAAAAAAAGAATAATTAATAAACGATTTAAATTTTAAATTTAAATATTTCAAACATATTTGAACTAAATTATTTATTAAAAATCTAAATCACAATCTCAAAAGAAATGTATTCCCAAGAACATCAAACAATAAGTAAAATATAATTTAGTATAAAATGGTCAATACGGTTAACGATTCATTCAATCCGCGATAAACTTTACGATAGGTTTAATACAGCTATAGCGATAGTCCTATAATAGCTATCACTTCTCGAGAATTAACAAAAATTAGGAAAAGAAATAATATTTTTCCCATCTAAAATAGAATGGTATAATACGTATGTTATTCAATATAGATGGCCAGGGTACAAAATATGTACAATATTGGGTATATAAACATAATATAATATTATTGTGAATTGTGACTTAATTGTTCGGTATGTTACCGTAAATAATAAATTGGTAAATAGTGTGTATGTAATGTACTAGGTACACTTATATAATTGTGGATATAAGAATATAAAATGATGAAAAAAGTTCTGCAAACTGTACAAAATTACGGTATTGTTTGTTTAATATTCTTAGGGGGTCTTTAACTTCAAATCATTTATTTTGGGGGGACTAAGCCCCCGTAAGCCCCCCCCCCGATCTCCGCCTATGGGTATACCACATTCTGGGAGATAGCCAAACAAATAATACGATAGGTATCGGACAATTAATCATGGTGATTAGTGACATAATATTACTTTTTAGGTGAGTATTTTCATCAGCCTTAATTATGCTCATTAACTTACCCATTTATATTTGTAAATGTATTATTGGGTCCAAGCAGGATTTATAAATGTTTGAATTAAAAAAACATTTCTAGTTCATTTTATTGATCTAAAAATAATATAGTATAACAAATAGTAACAAACAATAATAAATTAATAAGTACCTACGAATGTAGGTACATAATTTTAAATCGTGTATTTATTATCATAGAATCTAAGTGGAAAAAGTTACTAGCTTTGATAGCTCCGCCTAAAACCGTATATTTGCCTGCTCAGATGGAAGATAAAAGTAACAAGAAAACTGTAATAAATTATTGGCTTATAGCTGGATGGTAGGTACTATTTTAAGATTACTAAGCCTTGTAATAATAACCGTGAATATACTTAATAAAACTTAATTTTCATGCAGGGTGTTAAGCATACTTATTTATGCTTTATCGATCGTTGTAATCATTACCTTTGGATTGAAAATAGGTCAAGTGAAAAGCTTACACTGGTTAATGACATTGCTAATAACGATTATACAAAATGCATTCATATTTGAACCTATGCAAATATTAATATTTAGTTTAATAATATTTAAACTCGATCATGTAACTCCATTAATAAATTGATAAAAATATAATATTTAAATGATTTTTATTATTGTTTTATTATTGTAGGGACGGCATCATATATTATTAAACAAATATACAATTAACCTGGATGATTTCCGTAGAAATACAAAGAAACAATTACAGAATATTCGCTTAATACAAAGTTTACGAGAGCGCAGAAAAAGATATGTGTATAGCCCGATGACACCAACATCTGCTCAAGTAGATATATATTTTTTTATGTTTATCGGTTTAAGCTTTTAAATTTTTTATTAACCTATTATTCCTATGTAATATCATAGTAGGTACATAGGAGGTAGGTTAGAAATTTGAATGTTTGCAAAAGTATTTTAGTAATCTCTTTTTAATGTGCTATATTGAGTAAAATAAAAGAAATAATAGAAATATTGAGTAGACGTCCAAAAAGGTGATTCATATTGTGCCAAACACTGTTTATATAATTATCTGGAATCATAACAATACTATCATAAATAATAATTAAATATTCTTACAGATTTTACAAGCTAGGTTTAGAGATAAATTGCGGCGTGAAAGATTTCAAGAAAATGTTGGTACATGTCTGCTATTAATATTAATATCATTATGTTGTATTAGTGGGTTGTATTCATTTAGCAATCACAAACATATCGTACATGCCAATAATATTAACAAATTATTTCTCAAAAGCTTATTACAAAAAAATATGATGGATTTGGAAATGTAACATAAAAATAGAAATAACTTTAAATGAACTATTTATTTTTAGTTAAATGTATGACCTGATAACAATTTTATTTTAGGATTAAAGCATTTTTAACTGAAACGCTTTTAAATCCCTTTCATACCAGAGAATACTATAGTGGAATGCCAATAGTCAATAAATCAATGCCATATCTAAGTGAAAGTATGAATGTTTATTAACTTTTAAAATATTAAAATAATTATAAATATAAGTAATATATAAATGTATAAATAAACATATTGTAATCATTAAGAATAACAAATTTGACTGAGTTGTCGAACTCATTACTTACTTATTTCTTAAAAAGTTTGAAGTCTTTGACTATAAAAATTTATATTGTATTACAATATATTGTCTTTAATAGATAATGCAAGAGGTTGGTGTAGTTTTTACAACAGTAAATTAGTGAACGGAGGCATTAGACTAAAACAAAATAGAATCGCAGAAAATAACTTAAGATGGGAAAGCGATACAGGTAGTTACAAAGAAAAATGGATAAAAACTACCGAAATTAGCGATGTTACGGCTTGGGTTTATAGGTCTATACCAGTGATAAAATATTTCGGACTATGTATGTATTCATTGCCATTAAAAGTTTACTTATAAAATAAACAGTGTACTGAAGAAAATTTACTCAAATATTTTAGGGTTTCCTGTTACAGAAAGTTCTGGATTTATATTAGATCTAACTGGACAACTATCGGAGTATGAGAAAAATATAAAAGATCACTTAGAAAATGGATGGTTGGATAATAGAACGAGAAATCTAGTCATTGAATTTCATACTTACACACCTAACATTAATTGCATTACTGTATTCAAAATAAAATTCCAAACTTTATCGGGACTATCATATACAGTACATAGTGAGGTATGTTAAATACAGTTCAAATGTTTACCTACTATTTTTTAAAACTTTGTAAATGTTAGTTAGTTAGTGCTTTTGGACAAAAGGATTTAAATATAAGGGTGATCAATTTTGAGTCCCAATGGTCTCAACATTCTTAACAAGTATACCTCTACATTTTCATTGAAATAAATCATATAAGTTATAATTGTAATACCCATTGATGGGTATTATAGTGAGTGTATGATTCGCTTATATTAAAATGGAATATGCCATGTTTCTAACTAATTATAATAGTTAAATAATCTGTTACCAATGGCAACCATTTAAATAAACAAAAAAAAATATTCGATTCCCATGAGCCGAATTTATGCTCGTCGCCCTAAAGCACATTTTATGTAATTAAAACCTTCACCATGTTATACTCTATCGACCATCACAGTGTTTCCCAACCGTTGATCTTCGATCCCATTGATTTTTTCGTTCGATTTCTATTAGAAATTATTATTATTATTTTAAATATTGAAAAAATTATGAATTTTATTATTGAGGAACAGTTTAATATTATTATCGTTGTTGCTGCCGACGACCGTTAAGTATTTTCCACTTTTATAACTTATAAAGTTATAACTTATAAGTGTGTAAGTATCAGATATTTTTTGATTCATTTTGTGTATTCTTGTTAATGAGCAAAAAAAGGTCTTCCTAGTCTTTGTGAAATTGAGATGATTCTCGACCTATAAAATCGAAGTGGTCCGTGGTGGTAAAAATGTTGGGAGTCACTGATGTATCATTTGAAAAAAAATTCGACGTAATCGATGGCGTAGTTTCTGAGATTAGCTGAGAAAGTATAGATTTCACGCTTACATAGTTAGAAGATAACTATAAAAAACAAAAAAAAGCTCTAGGTTTCGTTTAAGAATACACAATAGCGGATATGCCAGGAAAATGGACACTTTTTTTTCAACAAAAAAATTCAACATTTCATTAATAAAATAATCACTTCGTCTAAACTCTAGACCAACGATTCTCAATCGGGTTATTATTAGTTCACAATTATTTTAGGGTCGTCAATCCATGTGGGAAAAAATTGTTTCACTTAGAATCTTATAATTAATAGTAAGTGTTATAACTTATAATATATATATTTTTTTTTTTTTGGATAGTCCGGTAGTCGATAAAAACGTTCCTTGAAGTGTACATAATATACCTTTTTTTGTAAAATATATACACAAATAAGTGCAATAATAACTTACAGTTGGTTCAATTTTTTAAATGTTTACATAAAAGTGTCATTGGGCATCTTGGTGACATTATAGGGGGTTGCGAACTCAAAAAGGTTGAGAACCGCTGCTCTAGACCACGGACTAAGATATAATGGACTGGTATAGACTACCTTATCAGTGGCCCTCAAATGTTTCTAAAGCCGCCATAAGGTACAACTATGGGTAAAAGCACCATATATACATGTGTTATAAGAACACAATGATCAAAATAACCAATAACATTATTAATTATGAAAACATTAAATCAATATAATATACTCATTGTATCGTATTCAAATTTAATATTCATAATATCCGTGGATTTTCGTGACCAAAAGTCGTTCAAAATAGTAAACTTCTAAATAAACAATATTAGTAACTTTATTTGTTACTAGGAGCGCTTTTACCCCTAGTTGGCACGTTACCTTTCGGCGGCCTGTTATGATGGGGGGGGGGGGGAGTGGCGGTGTCGTAACATTTGAGGACCCTTCCTCTACTACCCCCGACCAAGTCGTTTCCAGTCCAGTTTATCTTAGTCCGTGCTCTAGACACTTGTGATTTGTGAGTGGTGCTTGTGAGTAATAAGAGAAAATGATTGGTTATGAGGCGGTTGGTGGTTACCTTGTGACCCGTGGCCACGAGGACACCGCTGCATGCGCATTAACTGACCGGGTATCGTACACGGATGGGTGATCATGTACGCTTAGGCACCCGAGTTTCTAGACACAGCCTAAAATAACTATTTTATCATGATAGTGTCTAAAAGATATCACTGTCGTGTGTATATATTTTATAGGTGTGGTCGGTGCCTTCGGATTCGGTGGTCGTGACGTGGAGCACGTACGTGTTCACGCTGGTGTTCATGTTTGCGTACGCAATGATGACCGTGCGGCTGATGATTTCTCTGAAGCACATGGTGTCCGCCATGTACGACTACGGCGGCGGCGAGTACCGGGCGCTGTGCGCGGCTTACGAGTGTGCGGTGCTGGCGGTGGTCATGTGCGCGATGTTCGCGGTGACCGGCCGCTGGCAGTTGATGGAAGTGGCCCACGAGTTGTACTCGGTGGCCCAGGAGACGGCGGTCGTCGGCACCATGACGTACATGTGCCAGGCCCACGAACATGTGGCCTCGCTGGCGTCCGTCATCGTGGCCATGGCGCTGTTCCGCACGTTTCAACTGGTCATGTACGAGAGACGAGCGTCGCACGTGGTGCGAGCCCTGGGCGCGTCGATGAGGCCCGCGGCCACGGTGGCCGCCTACTGCCTGATTGTCACGTACGGCGCCTGGGGCGGCGTGACGGCCGGCGATGGCCCCGGGTTCCTCAACGCGTTCGTTTTGTCCCGGACGGACTGGCGGAACGACGTGACTCAGCCGCCGCCGATGGCCACGGTCGTCTCGGCCGTCGCGTTCCTGCTCTTAAACGCCGCCGTCGTGTCGATCATCACCAAGCGCTACGTACTGTCCAAACTTTACACTCGACAATGACGTGCCGATATTGTCAATGATTGTTATTGATTTGTTGTTCGTTCGAAACAGCGTTAATACTGTTTATCGCCATGCCTGTTACCTACCTACTTGTTATTGTTATATTATGATACTGTATTATAGTTTTGAATTTATTTCCTAATATTATTTTATACTCGACACTGTTTAATACTATATACTTGTTATCTATAAGTACGAATCGCAGCTTTAAAGCGTACCTAAATGGCTGAACAAAATAAATAAGCAATAGGTATTTTTAGCGGTTCAGGTGCAGGACAAATGCACCGATCCAAATTTAAAACGCCGTCAAATTATTACTCACTTTTCAAAGCCTAGTGACTAGACCAGTGGACAGTGGTTCTCAACCTTTTTTGGTTCACGGCACACTGTGGTACATCACAAGTTTTCACGGTACACTCACGCACTTGACAACCACAACATATTATTTGGCAACTTCGGCGAAGACATTAGGTTATCGCCACGCACCTAAATATGTATGACATTTCTGATTTCTCACGGCACATCTAGTCGATCTCGCGGCACAGTAGTGTGCCGTGGCACACCGGTTGAGAACCACTGGACTAGACAGTAGACAGTGACTGCAATGTTTTATCTAACACACTCATAGTGACATGAAATGTCACTCGAAAATCAATCCACCGAAAAATTCAAAAACAGTAGGTAATATATTTATGAAAATGGCCAGCAACGGGTAACGATCTCACCTAAGTTTGAAAAACATTGACATTCTCGAATCATTTTTTTGGTCAACGTCTATATCGCCATTTTATTAATGGTCAAGTCCAGTTTAGAAGGTCACAAGACGTTCCTACCCCTTTAAAATCTAACTAACATAAAAGCACTTGAAGAACTATTTTACATCTCAAGCTTTCCTAGTTAAAACTAACATTTTTGAAATGTTTGTTTTGCAAAAATGTAACTAACCGATGCCGTGAACTATCTAGATAAGTGTTGAAACCCAATACCCATTCGTAAATCCTTGCACCGCAAAATTCAAAAACAAGTAAAATATTTATGGAAATGGCCAGCAACAGGTATCTGAAGCATTTAAATTCGAAAAACATTGACCTTGTCCATTTTTTTCTTTTAACTTCTAGATCGCCATTCACCTATAAGGCTATATCTTACCAGTGCCTTAAACTTTACAGCTTAATTATAGCTCTATACCCTATTGGAGAGTGCATATTATGTACTGACGTCCTATGGTCTTAATTTTTGTATTGATTGTTATTTCTGCGAATTGTGATCATTAATAACAGTACACTGTATACTTCTTGTAGATTGAATGGAATATATTTCAATCTGTTGACTAATGTCTAATAGGTACATTCAACATTGAATCTGTGAATCACGAATAACATCGTTGATCGTTCCCTACAATCTTGCTGTGAACATTTATTTTTTTCTATTTATTGTTATTTGTTATCTATCTCAGTGATAAAAAACATTAATAATATACACACATGATATACATACATTGTTATCTATCAACAATCATAATCACACTAATCACAGTGTTCTGATTTGAGTGATTTCTGACTTTCTGAGTGACTTCTTAGTTCTCACTTGTCGTAATAAATTTGTACTATTACAATAGTGTAGTCTAAATAGTAGGTAATGTCTATTAAGAGTTAAGACTATTAAGTATTTAAATATTAGGTACCAAAATAAATAATTATTAGCATGCGCCATGTAACTATATAATTAGTAATTACTAATCAGTTACCTAATATGTAAATCGTAAGTTTAAGCTGTTAGATATACAGAATGACAGACTTTTAGAGTCTAAGCTGTACTTACTTATCTTAGTAAGTTTCTATTGAAGTCTGTGGCATATTTTATAAAACAGTAAGTTACTAGTACAGTTATTACATTTACTTTTAATGGTTATGGAATTTGTTACCCGTTGTAAATTCTGTAATAAATATTTTGTTTAATTATTAAATCAGTATTCAATAATACAAATTTTAATGCCTAGGTATTTCAAAGTTCAACTAAACAGTAAACAATGATACTTACCTTACACAAATTAATAATACTCAATCTCAACATTTGATATTTATTACCTAATCATTTTTATAAAAAATAATTATTTAATTTGCAATATAATTTTAGTTATTAATTAAGAAGTTGAATATGTCATTAATAAATTAATGTACATTGACACCTCTTTCTTCTATCATGTTGAATATTATATTTTCTATCGTACCATAAACCATACTATACACACTTTTTTCTATATAATTCTGTAAAACACTGTAGTTTACCAATAATTTTATAATATTATACTTAATTATTGATACTACCACAGAATAGATGAAATTCTGTTGTATAGGCAAAGAATACATTTCATTTATCCTGTTGTGTAGGCACTAACATAAGATTATTAATTAATTTCTAATTTAAGCTATATTATTTTTTGAACAGTTACCCTTCGACTTGATCTGTGATTGTGAGTATTTTCGTAGAAAAAAAGTTTCATACATACATCTCACTTCTATCATGTACGATGTTCACGTTCTTTTTGTAGGCTACAGTCGGCCAACAGAAGGTGGTATGTTGGCTAATTGCACCTGCACATTGGTCAAAGGTCCTAAAAACATTATTGTTGATACTATGACCCCGTGGGATGGTAAGAATTTAATAAATGCTATTGAACAACATGGAATCGGATGTGATGACATTGATTATGTAATTAGTACTCATGGCCACTCTGATCATGTGGGTAACAATAACTTATTTTTGAATGCTAAGCATTTGGTGGGTCGATGTATTAGTTACAAACAGATGTACTATGACGACAGTACATTTTTCAACAGTGATGGTGTGTATGAAATTGATGAGAGTATTCTAGTTATCTCAACCCCTGGACATACACTGACAGACGTATCTGTTATCGTTCAAACCACCAAAGCATCAATTGCAATTGTAGGTGACTTGTTTGAATGTGAAGACGATATAATGGATGAATCCATTTGGTTAAATGCTGGTAGCGAAAATCCAGATTCACAGAAAAAGTATAGAAAAGCTATCATGGAACAAGTGGATTGGATTATTCCTGGGCATGGTGCTATGTTCTCTACCAGTAAATACAAGTGATCAATTATTATAAAATAGAAATAATCTTAAAACTGTTGAGTATGTATATATACTATAATGTAGACAATTGTAAGTGATTGTTAGCAATTGTGATGAAATAATTATTTATACTTACAAAATACGATACCAATAAACAATTATTCAAGTATCTATTTGTTAAATTTTTATGAATTTAAATGAATAGGTGATTTAAAAAATATTCTTGTTTTCTGTAAATTATTATATACGGTGATAATTTTTAATGCATTATCATACAACATCTTTTCACAAATATATTTTCGTTCCTATGTTGACATTAACTGTCATATATATTTTTTTAAATATAACAACTATAATTATGTAAGTATAACTTGTCAATTAAAATTATCTGTGTTTTAACTATGTTATAAGTAATGAGTAATAACAGCAAATTGTATTTGAATGTTGATACCTTCACTGTATTAAATTTATGATATGTTTATTGTATATTGTACCTATATTATTTTTATTCATGATAATTAATAGGATTGAATGTACCTAAAGGTTTTTGTTTCAGAACATCAATCAATAATAATAACATAATATTTAAATGTTTTGGTATTTTTTCTTTGGTTCTGTTTTCAAAAGTACTGTAGACTTCGTTAAACACTGTGAACAACACTTAGGATAATTTTTGTCAGCTCGGAATGGTTGGCATGTATGATTAGGCAATTTACATGAAGTGCACGGTTCACATCTGCAACAAAAAAAATATTACAATTTATATTAATTCTTCAGAGGCTTATACTTTTTTATTTTTGTTATGACTCACTCCATAGTTTTGATTGTTGGGGTTTTTGAGTTCTTTTGCCTAGAACAAGTTCGTTTTTCACATTTTCCCACTGGATACCAAACGGAGTCTACCTTGTAAGCTGATTTAGTTTCCTCGTCATAACATTTTGTAACTGTAATATTGGTTTTAAAATAATGTTTAAAATTGAATAAAAATTTGTATTTATATAATAGCTAGGTACTTGTACACTTATATAATTAACAAACTATTTTTTGGTTGATTTTAATTTACCAAGATACCCACATATTTTTAATTATATTATTTCAGTCATTTAGGACTTACAATTGTCCATCTATAACAATTAATAAGACTTTCATGCTTCACTCATCTGAGGTTAAATATCTTGGCCTAATACTGGTCAGATACTTAACCTGGTCTTCTCATCTTAAGGATAAGTGCAAGGCGCTTAAATGTAAACTTCTTGTCTTCGTTTGTTAAGGCCATTTCCATCTCCAAACTCAACATTATCCATTGAATTTATTTTTTACAAAACCCTCACAACTATTATAGACATATGATATTTTAATTTGAAGTTCTGCTAAGAATATTAATAAGAGAATCCCTCAAGCCTCTTAAAATAACTGACTTCGCTTAATTACCGGAGCTTTCCAGTTTGTCTTCAACAATCACTAAAATTATACCTTAAAATCTGCTTAGTAAATAAAACTTGCTCACTTTTTACAAGCATTACTGTTCAAAGCTCCAATAAAACTCCAACCAGGCTATTAATTACCATTAAAAAAGTAATTACTATAAAATTGACTACTACAATTGACTATTACACATAATTTGTATTGAATGTATTATTTTTTTAATATATACATTTCAATATCAAGTGTTTTATAAAGTTTTATCTACTATCTAGAGTCTTGTATTTATGGTTTATCTTATATTAACTTAATTAAATAATTCTATTGTATGACTAAAAATTAATTTTTACTTCAATTTAGAATATTAATATTTCTACTGACGATAGTAGGCATTATTTTGAATACACTCAAATTATGAATTTTAAGTTTCCTTAGTCCCCAAAATATGTATTAACAACTTCAAATATATTAAACTAATTAACTATGGTATGATTTAAATAATAATTAATTCAATTGTTTTTCATATATTTTTAGTTTATGCTATAATATTAAGAATTAGGATATTCAATTAATTGTAAGTACCTATATGAAATACCTCATTAACTTGTGTAGGCATACAAAATAATAAATACTAATATACACAGTGGAAAAAAGTTGTAAGTCCTTATAATTAAGATTTTTAAAATCAACATCATTACTAAAATAGTAATAAAAAAACATTGAGACAATGTATTTTCATTATTTTTAGAATGCTGGAAGATCAACTCATGAAGAACCTTGTATTCAATATTCTAACCATAGATATTAAAATTTTAAATTTTATGCTTATGCATTTGTAGCCACAATAATTTGAAATTTCGTAATTTTGACAAATTCATGAAAAATTGAACTTAAAATGCTTAAAAAAAACATGATTGTATTTTTGATGTTTAAAAAAAAAATATTATTGAATAAGAATTTATGAGTTATAGGGGGCCTATGTTATAATATATTCAATCATTCTTCATTTTTGCTGGCGAATAAATTATTTATCACATGTACATAAATGGAAATATGCATATAATTATATAAATAGCTCAAAAAGTGTCAACATATTTTGAAAATTAAACTAGTTAAGTAAGTATATCTATTAATTAGTAAATGATAAAATATCAATATTTGGTTTAGGTTTCAAATCTCCTTGGTTATTTATTATTATTAATTAGGAGGATTAGTTGACAACAAAAAAACAAAATACATTTTACTGAAAGCTAGTATACTATTCTACTAATATTCAAATACTCCCGTTTTCTGTAATGTTTATTTTGTTCCAGATTAATTTGTAAATTAGGTTCTGTAAAGACAAAACAAATCAAAAATACGTTATTTCAAAACAATAAATTCATCGCTTGAGTGCTTCACTCATAAGTCATAATTTCAAAAACGACAGACGCTTATTTTTTTATTAATAAATGAGAATCACGGAACGTCAAAAAACCTATCTAATAAAATTACTATTCTATCACAAATTTTTTAAATTATCAATCGGTAGTTAAAATAATATTATACCTACATATGACTATTTTAAATATTTAAACATACATTTCTCGAAAAGTATTGATTAATGTTTTTGAAAATGTTTTTTTTAGATAATTTTAAGTTTTTTTAAAACAATATATATATTTACTTGGTTTAATTATAGCACCCATTTGTCTAATAATTACCTGCAATATTATACTATAAACATTAGAAAACGATAAAAATGATAGTAAAAAAACATTTTTTCTTATTAATTTTGTTTTGAAATTGCATCCAATTAGGTAGGTAAATAAAAAAAAAATTTTGCAGTCGTTAAGATTTTTCGAGAAAATTAATGTTTATCTTTATTAGTACCACTTTGTATTTATATAGGTAGATGTATAAATAGTGTTAGTCGAATTCTTGTCTCAAAATAGACCCTATTTTATGCATAGATAAGGATTAATGAGGCCTTTAATTATGGCGTAGGTAATGTTATGGCGGGCAACCGAAATGGTAATTCGGAGAATTCCTAATAAGATTATTCACATGTATCAAATGAAATCATTAATTCATCAATTTAGGTATGCAAATACCGTTAGTTTCGCTTAGACTATTTGCTAACCACAATAGGTCATAGAGGATACGTAACTATAGTACGTAGGTACTTAGACAGTTGGACTTATACTCTGATTATAATTAATTATAATATAATTAATAAATTATAGACTTTAGCTTTGTATTTACATAGGTACCTATGATTACCTTATCATACCTATACTTAAATTATTAGAGATTAAGAAAAAAAAAATCAAAATTTTAACAAAAATGTTATAGGGCGTAGAGGTACGCCATTATATTATTTTATTGATAAAATTATGAATAATTGACTGCCTTTTATCAAACATGCGTATTACAAAAAAAATATTATATTGAAATAGGTATAAATTGTAACCATTATACCTGGGTAATACCTTTACATGAATAGGTAAATTATCACCTAAATTAATGACATTTTCATGTTCACTCACTCAAGTTGGACTCTTTGATTTCCTCATTTCCGAACCCTTCGGCTTGCAGTACGTTCTCTTTATCGTTGTAGAAGTCTGGGGCCGCCGCGGACAGAGAGCACAGCGTGGCCATTGACAAGATGATAGTCAGTTTCGACATGATCGAATGGTGTGACGTACAGTGGACGGTAAAACAAAACAAAATAATTAGCAACACCTATATGTACATGCGATTTGTGACAATAAACAATAGAGCGCAATATTCGTGAATGCGAAGGACGTAACTAATGCGCGTAATAATTTTAAAACGAGGAGACCAAGACCTGCGATAACCTCAACGGCTAACCTTTTTTGTCTCTGGTTATCGATTGCAATATTTTAATAATTTATTTACCTACACGAACAGCGTGCTGTACGTAAGTAGGTACCATAAACATATAGGTATAATAATAAGTAGGTACCTGGCATTAAACATGCGCAGTTGTTACCTAAGTGCCTACTGCTTATATAAATACATAATATATTTGTGTAAATAGTCAGTAGGTATAGCTGTGTAGAATGTGTTTGTGACCCATTGTCTTATAAATAAAAAAACAAATCGTCCATCGATGTATTCATTTTTTAGATCTCCGATTGTGTTCGGGCGCATATATATACCTACCTATTATTACATACCACTATACCAGTACCCATCCAAAGCTATATATCAGAGCCCTACTTAGAAATTAGGGGTCTGGGGATAATTTTTTGGCGTGGCCTCTCGGCCTGAATTATAAATCCAGTGGTTTTTTTATAGTCAATTAATTTTTAAGATTACACCACATAAGTCTATGAGTAATTAATTAATGTTGATTGGTATATGAATAAACCGTATTACAGTATTATTTGGGGGGCCCTAATTATGCCGGGACCCAGAGCTGCCCCCTAGCTCTCCCTCCACCACAATGAGTAGGGCTCTAACTCTCTAAGCTGTAGCGACAAACATAACTACACCCATGTTTATAAAACCGCAGAAAACACGCCTAACCCTATGTATAGTATAACGATTATATAATTTTATTATGCGAAGAGTTATTCGTTTTTGAACGGACGAGTTTGTTGATCTGCGCTAGCAAGTGTACAAAGGATCGGAATTATGACGGATTTATGTCATCATCTCTAGGGTAGGGGGACCCCGTCATCGGTCTTATAGGCCTCGGCGTGTTATGGCCCGAGACGAAAACCAATTTTCGTTCTTGTCGGAAGGCGGGCGGCGTCTGACTGGAATAATTAAATTCGCACAAGGCTGCTAATACTGTTGGTTTTTTTTTGTTCTCGGTCATTAAAATCCACAACAGCGGTAAGTTGACTTCTTTCGGTTCATTTAATTTTAATTTTGTTTTTTTTTTCACCATCGCATGCGTATATGATTTTGGGTCGCTTATTTGGTAGCCATACGCGTGTGGACGTTTGTATTACGCGTATGATTAATTCGCCAGATATTCGTATGCGTCATTAGGTATATAATTTCTTAAAATATTTCTTTAACCTATATACCTACGATTTTTTTTAATTTAATTAAATGTAAGAACATTGCGCTTGTTTTGTTTTTTCTCTAACCTATATCATATTATTATACTTATATTTCACGGTGATAAATGCCTACTTGGATAATACGCGAAACAAAATAAAGGTATCCGCAATAACTGCATTATGCGATTCATTTATTGAAACAATTATGAATTATCATTCTCTGGCTTTAAACCATATGTTATACTATACATGTTTGGAAATTAGTAAATGGCCTTTGATCCTAAACGATTTGACAACAGACTGTCAAAAAAAATTAGGTTAGCTGTGAAAGAGCATGCATGATGCGACAAATATTAAATATAAGTATCTACAGGATGATTTAAAACAAAATTCCTTATTTTAAAACAATTTGAATAAAAAATAATTGTCCTTTTTAAACTATTTGGTACCTACTTCAAATATTTGTAGTTTTGCATACTTGCATATTGGTATGGTTTTAAATAAAATATGACAGTACTATTGAATAGGTACCTACTTATTTGTGCAGTGTATAAAATATATTCGCAATACATCTTAATCTAAGGCTTGTTTTTGATGATGGTAATAATTAATTTAGAAATGTACCTAGACGGCTAGCCTAGGTATTGTGATTGTTGTGTAAAACACATACTTATACTTATTTAAGACCAGAATTTAAAGTGAAATTAATTAAAATTCATTTAATATGACACTCTATTGTTTATGGCAGATAGGTATGTTACACAAATTTTAGAAAAAAAATAATATGCTAGAACCTTAAAACCTATATAAAATGATTAATGAAAAACATTTATTGCCTACATCTAGGAATGGCTGTTAAATAATTGTACCCAAGAGAAGAAAATTTAAATTTTTATAATACACATAAAAATGTATTCAAATGTCCTGTTGATTAAAAATAAAATAAAATAATATTTATGTACCACCTATTTTTAGAACAGTAAACAATTAACTCTTATTATCTTATAATTATTGCTATAGTAGATGACATTCGAAACACCCTGTATACATGTTTAATACACTCCCTTCTGCTTAAACTCGCAGATGTTTTAATAATTTTATAAGAACTCATTTAACAAAAAAAAAATCCACACTTCAGACATTCGGGCGTTTGTCATTCGATGTTCAAAATTGTCGTAGAGGAATCCATGTGATGTTGATATAATTTTTTTTGAGTTGCTTAAATTAATTTTGCCATTATGTCTGCTTCGCGTTTTTTGTGCGTATTCTTGATTTGTATAGCAGTATCCCACGGTTATCATTCTAATATTGATTTCAAATCAAAGGTAAAATTTAGAAAATTGTTATTTAATAGGCAGGTAGTCTTAAATAAAATGCATATATATTCTAGTATATATATACGAATATACCTTAATGCCTAATGTATTAACCTCAAAAACGTATGTACCTGGTAATATTTAATTTTATATTTAACTACTATGTATTATATGAAGATTGATAAAAAATAATATTTGATTCAATAAGTAGATAAGTATAAGTTATAACTTATAATAGGTTATATACCTATACGCTTATTAAATTAATTTTTAGTTTTGTCATTTAAGTTTTAAACAAACTGCAGAAATAGGTACCTACGTAGGAACATATAATGATAGTTTATAGTTTTATACGTTATACGTATATTTATAGTTTACTTCTTTCAATGTAAGTATGTGGATATCTTAACAACAGTATAGGTACTATTCGTACTGATGTACTGCTGTATTAGGTATTAATTTTTTTTTTCACGTGTTCATTATTATATCGAAATCCCAATAGGCAGTATTACTACTCTGCGTATATTCCGTATTTATTGCTATTAAATACTTCCCTTTGGCCGTTTTACCGCATGGGCACTATAATAATCCTATGCATACAGCCCACTAAGTAATGTCTAGGGCCCCAAAATGACTTAATCCGGACCTTCCTACCTATATCTATCTGTTTAAAATTGTCTATACTACAAGTAAGAACAAATCAATTATTAGTCCATTCATATATATTTGCATTAAAACTAAATTTAAATTTAAATACAGTCGAGTAGGTACCTAAGTTATTATTATTTTGCTGTGAAATGTTATCTTACTAGTTAAATATTTAATGGACAAGTATTACATTTAAGTACCTAGTAAACTACCTATGTATTTACCGATTAATTATAGCTTTTCGCTATAACAATGAGATTTCTACCTATACCTATATACAAAACACACATGTTTACAAAGTTGACTACAGATTTAAAAGTTCTACTAAACTGCTAACCATATAAATTATTATGATTAATATCAAAACAGTTTAGTTTTGTATTTTTAATATTTAGGTTTTCGTTATTTTTTCAGAATGGTACAATATTAACTAAAAGTACAAATGATATTGATACATCTTTAACAATCTTCAATACAGAATTTTTTGACAAGGAAAAAGTAAGTAAAAAATATAAATAATTAAAGGCGTCAGCAGAAGGGGATTAGAATCGGAGTGGGAAATATTTTCATTTTAAATTTTTTGTTTCACCATCTGATTACTGATAAGTAGGGCTCGGAAGTTATAGGAGCTAAAAAATCAAAATATGCACAAAAAAGTTGTAAAATATGCATGAAAAAATGTTGAATATGCAAAATAAAATGTATTAAATATTATGCAAAAAAAATTATTTTTTATGTTTGGCTTCATATTTAGGCTAACCTAACTACGAACGTTAAATAATCGAAAATAAAACAATAAAACCATAATTATTAGTAGAATACATCAATTTTTTAGAAAATATTAAACAAGCATAAAAACCAATGAAAATTGAGAAATATGCATAAAAATCCAATGAAAATTGAAAAATATGCCTTTTTTTTTATAAAATTGACAAAATATGCAAAAAAATGCATTTTTAATTTTTGGATTTAAACTTGTCATTGTATAAAAGGGATTTCTAGCATGGTCTGCTATAAATTGAGAGCACACAGAAAAATACGCAACTCCTATAACTTCCGAGCCCTAGTGAGAAGTCACCTATTGTATGTGACATGTTTTTTTTTTCATATAGGGTATATACTTTAATAATTATTATTTATGAATTGTATGTAGTTAGTTAAAACTCAATCTTGCAGGATTAATTTTAAATTTTGATTAATTTGTACCTAATATACCTATATAACAACTAATAATGTCACAATGAATTAAATAATTTTGGATTATATCTTAAAATAAATTTTTCTAATTTATTCAGCCATTTATTCTACAAACTTGAAATTATTTTATGCAATCTATGAGTATTTAATTTTTTTTTATCAAAAAGTAAAAACTTGGTTGACTCTTGGTCTCGTCACTATAAGTAGGCACCTACCTATATGCCATAAATCTATAAAATCGTAGTTCTGATGTTCATAATCTAGTGTAATAAAAATATCAACTTTTTTTGATTTAAATTTTAAATTTTATTTTAAGATTTTTCGGTAAGTCTTACATAAAATTAACAAACTATATACCTAACTATGTATTAGTAATTAAATATATGATTTAAACCTACATAAAAAAGATTAATACATGGAAATAAATGTTTTTTCCAGGTTAAAGAAGTTCCAAATTATCAATCCTGTCTTTAAAATTCTTTTACAATCCTTTAAAATGTATATTATAGTAATGTATGACGCCGTGTCAATACATTAATATATTATAAACACAAGAGATATTCATTTTAATAAATCAGAACTTTATTTAAAATATAAATGAGATTCACGAAATATATTTTACAATACAATTCCTGAAGGAAGACATAATAATGGGTATAATTAATAATGACTAGCAGCACAATTCTCAGAGTGTGCTTCTCATCAAAACAATACACCAAAGATGTTATATATCACAATTATCATTTATACCAAATTCATATAAAAATCCCAACCCCAATAATAGTAATGATAATTGACACAAAAAAAAGCCAAAGAAGGAATCCCCTACATGCCCCCTCATGACCTGACGCCCTTATAAACTACCATTTAATTTTTCTCCCCCATAAAATTGTTATTTTGTAGATGTGTTTTTAGTAACCATCCTTAATTATAGTTATGTATTAAGTCTCCCACTAGAAAAACATAAATTTAATATAGGTACATTGATAGTATAATAATATTAGAAACTTTTAACAAAACAAATAATATTTTAATCAATAGTAGGTAGGTAGTTTATATTAGTTGGTATTATAATTTACAATATAGTTAACAATTGTAATGATTTCAGAAAATAGTTGCGCATAAAAATGTAATGACCAAAGAGTGTGTATTAACACTAGTGGATTATCAAGCCAACATTATACATTTTAAAAACAATTATGACCAAAATATGGAATTAACTGAAGATGAAGTAAAAAAAAAAATTTTATTTAATAGTAAAACAAATAACAATAGTATTTTTTACTATTTATTGTAACATTGCACTTTGTTTATTTTTAATATAGATGGTTGAAATTATTGGAGAAAATTTAAGAAACTTTTGCAAAGATAAAATCATTATTTTAAATAACTTTGACAATAAACGTTTTAGTAGATCTAAACGATCAACAGATAAGAAACGATACCAAGGTCAAACCCAAACTCAATTTGTTAGTTTTGGTTCAAAAACTTCTAATCAAGAAGCAAAAAATGGATTAGCCGAAGCTTTGTCACAACCTGATTTATCGAGGGCAACTGTCAGTAAGTGTCTGCTATGATATTTCTAATTAAAATGTAGAATTATTATATTGCCATATAAAATATATTCAATTAATTTGAAAACCGCAAGTTTTTATTCAATGCAATTATTAAAAATAGTTGTAAATACCTACCATATTGCATAAATACTTTGTATTAACTTCTTGTACTTACTAACCTGTTGGTTACTACTTACTATAGCCTTTAGAGTGTAGGCTATAGGTACGTATTACCTAGGTACTTACAGTATCCAATAACCAATAAATCCATTTACATTAAAAAAATGCATTTATACATACGGATACATAGATATACAAAGATATAGTCTAAATTAAATAAAATAATTTTAATAATGGTATCATCATGGATTTGTTTTATACGGAGGGCATGTATTTAATTAAAATTAGTAGGAACGTTGCGATTGCACCTTACATAGACAAAAAAATCTCGGATGGGTTAAAAAATAAAAATCTATTAAGATATCATACAAAAATATTTGGTTTATATTACCTACTAGAAAATCTTAATCCGAATAGTATGCAGACTGTGTGAATATAAGAGTATTTACTCGGAAATAAGAAGTACATTACCTAATAATTCATTGATGACATCATTTATTTTGACGTGATTAGTGATATTAATCCAACATTTTTTTTATGACCGTATTTATACAAATAATGTCTAGCACAACCAGTATAAATAATAATTATACGATTTTTTTATAACGAAGTTGTTATTCTGGGATTTATAACTTCATCATGATCATTCATAGATATTTAAAAAAAAATTTAACATTCTCAAAAATGTTGTAAACGTGGTTCTATTTTTGTGACCAGTTAAACACCCATCGCGGTTTACATACCAATGTGTATCACACATTGAAATACTCAAATACATTTAGACCATTTAATATTTTTACTAATTTTTTTAATACCTCTAATATTTCAGCTAGTTAACAATTCCAATATAATGGATGTACCCATAAAACGTCGTATTTGCTGAAGACTAATTTAATGAGCTAATGCTAATATTAAGTATGTGTGCTAGAATGCTCGTAACGAGCAGCTGAGTAAGGTTTATACGTATTTGTTCCACAATATGATCTTCAGGAAATTTTGTGGTGGGGATTATTGTATTCGGTGCATACTAATTGACTCCCAAAATAAACTGATTGCCTCCCATCCTTGTCGTAAATAAAAAAGTTGATATACACTAGTTGTCTCCGATGATCAGGTACCTAGCTCATAATTATATACGAATTGTCTCCAAGAATGTTCACACTCGTTATCTACCGTATAGAATTAAACAGTGATTCATAAATTTCACTATAATACATCAATACATCAATTATAATGAAAATTAAGTTTACAGTAACAAAATAATTTATGCTTAATAAATTTTAATATAATAGATTTATCATTAATATAGATCTATAGAAATTTTTCTATTTTATCATAGTAAGCATCGTAGTTCTATTTAAGTCTAAGAAGAACTTCATACTAAAATTATAGATAGGTATTTAGAATTATTAAAAAAAAAAATGTTTTATTATTATTAAAAAAATACCAGTCTTAGGTATATATATACAAGTATAAACATACTAACCTAACCTTACATTCTGATTTGACACTCAGTTATCAAAAGGTTTGCCATCCCTGGTATATAATATACATCATTTATTGTGTTATAGTCTCGATCTGAATTAGATTTAAAACGTCGTTATATTAATATATATTAGGACGCAAAGACCCCAAAGAGTATTACATAAAAGAGTATATTATTTTAATGTTTAGTCATATCTATATAATCGTCTCAAATATCAATGAAATTAAGTCATAAATTACGACTTTGAAATTACAAACTAATTTTGATATATGATATTTGAAAATGATTGGAACCATTTATACATTTTTACCTGCCTATTATGAGGCACTAGTACTAATCTTTTTCGTTTACGATAATATTTAAGATATGTCGGGAGGCAACTCATAAATAGTCGGGAGACAATTTGTACAAAAATTATCGACCTTTTTGACTTCAGTGGGCAACTAGTGGGCTCCCATTGGGTTAAACTTATACACCCTCCCCCCACAGATACGCCCTAGATACATACAGTAAATTATTTCTATATTAACAATTATGTTACACTGTAAAAACATTCATTAACACACAAAAGATGTACATCTTTTATTATTTATATAAAAATGTTTTAGGTGGTTTGAACGGTATGGGACAAGCTCAAAGTCAGTCAAGCTTTAGTGATTGTGATGATTGTTCTGGACAGGATTATAGAGCGCATTCAACACACGTGGACAATTCTCATACAGGGCATTTTCCATCACTTCGACCCATAAGTTCTGTTCCTCAAAATCAAAATTCAAGACCATATAGTGAATCAAATACAAATAGACAGTCACCAGGCTCACAAAATGAAGAAAGTCAAAGAGGACATTCTATCAATGATCAATACCCAGATACATACCCAGGTTCAGGAATAAACAATTTATTGCCAGCTAATCAAGTTCATGGATATGGTGTCAGGCCATCTGTCAATGGTCAGTATCCAGGATCGGGAACAAACAACAAATTACCAGGTAACCAAGATCAAGGATATGGCGTCAGCCCTTCTATCGTTGGTCAAAATCCAGGTTCAGGAACAAACAATAAAATACCGGGTAACCAAGATCAAGGATATGGTACAAATCCGTCTATTGATGGTCAATATCCAGGTTCAGGAATAAACAATAAATTACCAGGAAATCAAGATCAAGGATACGGTATCAGGCCATCTATCGATGGTCAATACCAGGGATCAAGAACAAACAATAAAATACCGGGTAATCAAGATCAAGGATATGGTATCACTCCGTCTATAGATGGTCAATACCAGGGATCAAGAACAAACAACAAAGTACCAGGTAACCAAGATCAAGGATATGGTATCAGCCCGTCTATCGTCGGGCAATATCCGGATACAGGAACAAACAATAATTTATCGGGAAATCAAGAGCGTGGATATGGTAACGTACCTTCTCTTTATGGTCAATATCCAGGTAAAAATGAAGGTTCAGGATCAAATAATAATACAGAACTAGGTAAAATAGACTCAGGTCATACACATAGTTCTGCGAGCGATCAGAATCGGAACTTAGTAAATGCAAATTCACCAGAATCCAAAAAAGTTGTTAACAATAATGTTGTTAACCCAAACACGTATTCTATTAATCCTAGTCCATTTAATCCCAGTAGTTGGAGCTATCCAAATAAAATCACTAATAATAATCCTAATGTAGATCAGCAAATTTATCTTGATGGGTCAGGCTTTCCTAATGTTCCTCCGGGCCCAGGTCATGAAATACTGACTCCACATTATATACCTAATTCCGAATGGATAAGTCCTAGTTACAACCCACAAGTACCAACAACGACTTCAATAGAACATCAAAATAAACCATCTAATTATCCATCTAATCTTATACCTAACTATCAACAAAATTTTCCAAATGTTTTAGGTCAATTAACACCAAATAAGCCTATTTCAAGTGATAGAAACTCACAAAACGAGCAAAAGATTAAAAATGATGCTGCTGGAACTATACTAACTGGATATCCGTTGTCTTCAAATATACACGGTGGCCAAGATTATACCCAATTAAATTTACCTTCATTATGCAATTTCTTGTACCAGACGTGTCTTAATGCATTATCGAATAATAAAAGATTAAATGAATTTCAAATAACTAGTTCACAAAATAACGAAAAAAATCCAAATGAAGTAAAACAAGCTGATATTACTCAACAGCAAGGTTACCCTTTATATGGAGGACAAAATAATCAAAATCAAATACAACCTAGTTCTAGTCAGCCTCTATATACAATTGGATCTGGCGGGACGGGTGTCCAGCAACCTGGATACGTTCAATCGGGTGGAAATTTAAATCAAATGCAACCTAATTATGGCCAACCTCAAGGCACATCAGACTTTGGAGGATCTGGTATTCAGCAATCCGGATACGTTCCACCTGGTGGGAATGTTAATCAAATTCAACCAAATTATGGCCAACCTCAAAATACATTAGGCTTTGGAGGACCTGGATACAATCCATCGGGAGGAAATATAAATCAAATTCAACCTAGTTACGGTCAGCCTCAAGGAACATTAGGATCTAGCAGTACTGGTACCCATCAACCTGGATACGTTCAGTCGCTTGGAAATGTGAATCAAATGCAACCTAATTTTGGCCAACCCCAAGGTGCATTCGGCACTGGAGGATCTGTTTTTCAGCCACCTGGATACACTCCATTGGCTGGAAATATTAATCAAATGCAACCTAATTATGGCCGACCTCAAGGCCCATTAGACCTTGGAGGATCTGGTTTTCAGCAGCCCGGATACGTTCCGTCTGGTGGAAATGTCAATCAAATGCAACCTAACTATGGCAAATCTCAAGGTACATTAGGATCTGCCGGGGCTGGTGTCCAGCAACCTGGATACGCTCCATCAGGTGGAAATGCAAATCAAATTCAACCTACTTATGGTAAGCCTCAAGGAACATTAGGATCTGGAGAGTCTGGGTTTCAGCAACCTGGATACAATCCATCGAGTGGAAATATAAATCAAATGCAACCTAGTTATGGCCAGCCTCAAGGTATATTAGGATCTGGAGAGTCTGGTTTTCGGCAACCTGGATACAATCCATCGGATGGAAATATAAATCAAATGCAACCTAGTTATGGCCAGCCTCAAGGTACATTAGGCTCTAGGGAGTCCGATTTTCAGCGACCCGGATACGTTCCATCAGGCGGAAATGTAAATCAAATGCAACCTAGTTATGGCAAACCCCAAGGTACATTAGGATCTGGTGAGGCTGGTGTCCAGCAACCTGGATATAATTCATCAAGATTACCTCAAAGTTATCCCGAATCGTATGGTGATAACAGTTTTAGAGGTCCATCTCTTAGGCCAGGATCAGAAATGGAAAATATTAATCCATCACCAAATCCGATAATCGGTGGTCAATTTGGAACAGATATATCATCTGGAGGTTCTGTGACTCCTATTGACACTGAAGGAGGAGACGCGCAATCCATGACTAATGTAGATGTTGATGGGCACGAAACTAGAGCGTCGGCTTCAGCTCAAGGAAAGTCCAAAACAGGTATGAGTCAGACACAAGTATCTGGATCATATTTAGGAACAGGAACGTTTTCTGCTCAAGCTCAAACAAGCGATAGCGATAAAGGAGCTCAAAGCCAAATTGTAAGTAATACAAATGGTACAACAAGTTCAGCTCAAGGAAAAGGAGGAAAGGGACAAGCACAATCCCAAGTTCTTTATAATGCAGATAATGGCATTGCTTTAGGCGAAGCACAAAGCTCAGGAATTAATTATGGGACAAACACTCAATTGCAAGCTGGTATAAAAGGAGGAGTGGCAGATGCACAATCAACTGGACCAGGAAGTACTTCTAGTCAGGCTCAAATAGGTTTCTTACCTCATGAGTCTAACAACAGCACTAATCAAAAGTCATTATTCAAAGGTGGCGGTGCAACTTCAGCTCAAGCTGGATCATATAGTGGTCAATCGCAAAGTCAATTGTTTGGGTCATATAAGCATGGAATTTCATACAACGGTGCTGCTCAAGCAAGTACTGGTAAAAAACTTCAAAACTTACCAAAATTAAATTTGGCTGATGCCAAGTTAAAAATTGGACAACTGGAAGGATCTAATATTGAAATTAAAAATCAAACTGATGCACTCCAGAACTTAAAGTCTGTTCCAAATCTAATACAATCTCAAAATAAGTCAGAAATTTCTAACGTTGATTACCAAAAGCAACAAAATATCTCTTCAACGCAGACACCATCTATTTTACCACAAGAATCGTCTAAGAATGTTGATGTTTATCCTGAATATGAAGATAATGATGAGTATGATGAAGATAGTGATGAAATCGTAAATACAAAATCAGTAGAAACAAAAAAAGAAACAATCCCAAAGCAAGAGCAAAATATTATTTTAAAATTAGATGACAAACATGATGCCCAAATTACTCGTGATTCTGATAGTCAGCTGAAATCTGGACAAGTGTTAGATGCTGGTCAAGTTATACCAGGGACTAATGGAACTAAAATACCAAATGGATTTAGAGGAATAGTAGCTTCGGTAGCAGGAGACCACACCGAAGCTAAGGCAATTCCGGGAGGTCAAGCTCAAACCCAAACTGTATTCTTAACACCCGGAATAGGTAGTTTAACGGTGGTAGACAAAACAAAATTAAGAGCACAGTTAAATAAAGAATCATATGTTAGCCCAACTAATAAGTTCCAAACTGAAATTAATGGAGGAATAGGCAAATATAAACCATACGAAAAGAATGTCCAGTATTTTACTAAGTCATCAACTTGTGGTTACTTTTCATTTTCATGTAACTATGTAAATGGAAAAGATGGGGCTAAAATATGCAAACCAAATCCACCACCTTTCCCATGCCAGGGAACTAAAAATTAATGATTATAACAAACAGTATAATATTTATTTTTTTAAACAATTATTTATATTTTAGATAAGTTAATTTAGTACAAAATTGTATACTTATTAAACCTAACTTTGTACTATGGAATTAAGTAGTTCTATTAAAGTAACATTTAATATCTTATATGCTATTTAACTATTATTTGTTTCCCACGTGATTATTGTTATATAAAAGAAAACTCACAAATACTAAATGTATAACTACATAATAAGACAATAAAAAAATGGAAAATGAAAATATCTAATGTGTTTGAAGAATACAAAACAAGTATAAAATATAAGTTATAAAATAAAATATTAAATATAGATTTAGTGAATGTGTTTTGATTTTATGGCAAGATCATAAAAAAGGTATTTTCTATAAGTGTATAATATATATACAAAAAAAAAAATTATAATATTAAATATTTGACACATATTTAGAACTATAACGTGTATTCTTACAATGTATTAATTATATTAATTGACTGATAATATATTACACAAGAAACAAAATATTTTAGTAGTTTTTTCACCAATAATAAGTAACAAACATTAATGCTGGTCTATTAGTTGAAATTCAGTCTTCATCGCTATGACTTGAATCATCTGAAGACACTCGACTTGTTAAACGTGTCAATCTTTAAAAAAAATAATAAAATAAAATAAATTGCAACCAAAAGTCTTGGTTTTAACCAAATAATGCAATTGTATTCTTACTTTATGTTCTATGAACTCAAAAGCAGCATTTTTAAAGTAAAATGTAAAAATATTAATTATAATTATATTAAATGGGATAGTTTATATCAGTGACATACTTGTATATTTTAATGTAGCATAGCATAATATTATGCTTCAAACATTTCTATTACAAAAACTTGTGAGGGCCTCACAAGTCATAGCCCTACAGAACTATTTTTTATATAATATGGTGTTCTATAAAATTGAATATCAATGAGAGGCGGACAATAGAGTATGTAATACTGAACACACATACTAAAGTATATAACCAGTCAACGAGCCCTTTATGTGTTGTTTACAATTTATCAATAAGAAGTGGTAATAACTTAACTACCAATGAATAGTATCTATATAATATTTTCCCACATGCTGCAGTAGTTTAATAGATTATTTAATAGATGATATTGAATATCAAATATTGATAGCCATGTTACGACTGCAGTGGCATTGTTACTAGCCCCTGTAACAGTAGCGTAGCCAGAGAGGTTAGAGAGAGGGGCCCATGCCCCTCCACCCCGTTGGCCGTTTTTTTTTTATTGATTTTATATCAGTAAATCCACAGTCAAGTATATAATATGAGTATATCAGTACCTATGATAATATTAATTTATCATATGTAATCGCTATAATATTAAAAAGATAGAAATTATAATCTATAGTTGTGGTAGTAAGGTTACAAACATGATCATTGATCATAGATAGATAAGTATGAACTATTTTTTTATAGTAAAGTTATTGTAAGAGACCGCTCATGCTTGAATGTATTTATCATCTAATTTATATCTGGTCATAATATAATAAGTATACAAATTATCTCTTATTTTTTTAGTCAAAACGATACAAATTTAATTTTTATAATTTACCCCCCCCCCCTTCATTTTTAAGAAATCCTGGCTACACTACTGCACTGCAATACTATAACTAAAAACCATACCTCAAAGTTCACACTACATTGAATTTGCGAAAAATAAAAATTAATATGACTAATTTTGAAGTGTTTGCTTGGTATGCAAGCACAGAAAACCCCCATATTAGGCCACTGGTTTATAATGTTTATATGTATATATATATATAGGTATAAATGATTAAAATAATACAAACAGAAATTAAGTAATGCTAATTAAATGTTTTTTGCATACATCAATCCATGATTATATTTTGTTATTATAAATCGAAAAACACTCACATTTAATGAGCTTTTAATAATGTAATGTCATTTTTTGGATTAATTAAAGAACTCATTGAAGAAATATGAGTGAATACTTTTGAAATTTATTCAATGCATTTAGAACATGTTTAGAATAATTATTTAAAATTGTTAAATTAAAAAATTTAATTAAATTTACAATTGTTACTAAAATCGTTTTAAACTATTATAAAAATGTGTGATAGTTGTAAATATTAACCTTAAATAATAATTATTATTAAAACAATAAATATCATATAACAAATTGTTATTGAATTGATTAAAAATATTTTAAAATTTTAATGACATTAATTTAATCAGTTGGATTTCAATCGAAATTGTATACAATAAAATTAAATATGTAAAATCTGAAATGATAATTCATTGCACAAGTCCTCACCTTATATTTTGATGTTTTAATTCGGCCTGTAAGCTATCAAGCTTTTCTTGTAAATCTTCATTTAATCTTTGAAGTTTCCTAAAAATCAATAATTTTTAAGCAAATGTGTTTTAAGATAATTACATTTTTTAAATATAAAATTAACTATTCATTTTATGATTACAAATAAGAGATTATATTAAGACAGGTAACTTTGTGACAGTAAAATTCCTAAATCTTAACATGCTGATTTACAGAAATCTCACATTAAATGTTGGACAGGAATTTTATTAGTTTAATCTTAATTAAATAATTATGAATCAATTAATTATTTGTAAAATCCTTTATGTAGCAAATAGTGTAAAATCTGCCATTTTAACAAAATGTATTTTTTATTAATATATTTTAGCACACATATTGAATTAGACATACTTTATAGTATTAGAAGCAGTATCATAATCTTCTTCTGTTGTAGCTAACTCTCTTTTTAATTCTTCTACTCGGCTTCTTAAACGTTTAACTTCATTCTCATATTGCTCACCCCGCCTCACTAAATGTGCTGACTCAGCACTTTGGTCAACACACATTTTCTTTTGTTTGGATAGAATGTGTTTTAAATTGGCTAACTCCTGAAAAATAGTGATATAAACATTGTTAACTACATAATTTTATATTATGTCAAAAATTACAATATTTTTATCGGCCAACTCTTCTTGCAATAATCTATATTTTGTGTCTGATAATGATTCGGGTTTACTCTGTTTCTGCAATTTGTCTAGTGTGTCGTTCAATTCAGATTTTAATTGCTTATTGATTCTTTCCAAGTTCATCATTTCACTTTCAAGTTGTTCTCTTTTACTCCATTCAATTTCATTCTCAGATTGCAAGTGTTCTAGCTAAGACCGATAACAATAATTATAATACAAATTATTTATACATTTTAATTTTGTTAACAACTAATTTATTAATCACCTGTATTCTTAAGTCTTCCAAACGTTTGTTTGTAATAACCTGATTGTCTTGACAAGTTTGACATTCTGATTTAACACTATCTGTACCTGACAACTGACTATGTAAATTATTTAAATCTTGTTGAGTGCTTTCCAACAGATTTTCCAAATTCTTTTCAAGTTTATCGACTACTTCGTCAGATAAGGTTGTATTAGGAATTGGTGATTTAATGGGAGAAGTTGTTTGATTGAACAGTTCAACTGCATGTTTGGGAACCGCCTCTTGTAGAACATATTCTTCAATACCTGAGTCACTCACAATCGATGGCTGAGGTATAGATGATGAACTACAGCAAGTATCTGGATCAGAAATACCATTTTCCAATGCATCAACCAGTTGAGAATCCCATTGTCCTATAAAAAAAATATTTAAAACTAAATAACCTTCGACATTAATATTCAGAAAATATACCTGCATGTTTCAATAGAATCAGATTGACTTTTTCTAATTCTTTGCGCAAACATTCATTCTGTTGCTCAAGATTTTGCTTTTCTCTTTTTATATTACTGTTTTCTTTTAGTACATGTTCTAAGTTATCTTTGAGCATCTTAGCTTCTTCTCGAGCTTTGTTTCTTTCATTTCTCACCTAGAAATAACAATGAAAAGAATTAGAACACCACTAATCCTTTTCATAAAGTTAACTTTACCTTGCTCCATTTTTCACGCCAGTTAGCGGTACAATCAGACCACCATCGCATTGTTTTCTCCATTTGTGTTGCTCGTGCCCTGGCTTCATCTAATTCGCGCTGACGCATTGACTCTCTAGTATCCCAATCGGATGCTGTAGCTGATGCAACAACACCACCAGCATCACTAGCGGCCATTTTAACGGCCTAATTTTTGAATGATTATAAAATTAAAATGCATCGATAAATACTTTATTAATAATTTAAAGATATAGGTAATATACAATTTAACTTACCATGATATTAAAATACTTGATTAATGTTTTTGGTTCAGAAACACCAAATATGTAGCACTTATAATAAACATTGGGTTTTTTCACATCACAATTATGTAAGTTAACCTGTCACACATCATAAGTAAAGCCGTTCAAACTAGAAGCAACGCGAAAATTTAAATATTACACAACCTAACTACTGTTGAAATATTTGCAGAAGATTTAGTATTTAGTAGATTTAATACTTGTTGTCACTTGTCTGTTGACCATCGTCATCAACTATCAACAATCAATCTAACTTGTTTTTATCAACTGAACCCTTATCAAACTCAATATCATTCCCTTATCAAATTTTTCAATATTTTGGACTTAGAGCCAAATTTGAGGCACTTTCATTAAAAATATTATAAATTTATATAAATGTGTAATAATTAATAATTATTAATATCCATCATCCATACGATAGATTCTATAGGCATTTCGCATTTAGCTTTTAGCTAAGCACTAAATACATTTAATTAGGTATATCAGGAATCGTGCTTTTGGCCTATACAAACGCTCGTGAAACCAATGAAATTCCATCTATTTTGAGTACAGTTTACTATGTAATATACACAGTAATATTGTTATCATATAAATATTTGATAGAATATTAGGCCATCAATGCAGTTTAGCTCCCAACTAATTTTTGGAAAAAATGTTCGGAAACCCTTGTATCCAAACGAGTTAAGAACAATGGTACCTACCACGGTCTTAGATTGTACCTACAATCAGAATAAATTGGTTGGTCGGACTTACTTTAAAAGTTTTTTTTTTTTTATTGAAAGAAAAATATGTACAATCTGTATTATGCTATACAGTAAGTAATATGGTTAATTTTGTACAAGGCTGGACGGCTTGATGGAAGGGGGTGTCCAAACAACACTACTTCAATTCTAGACTTTTAATTTGATATTTTTTTTTCTTTTTTTTTTTTTTTTTCTTTAAAAGGTATAACTCATAATTTTTTGAATTCGTGGTTTTGCGTATTCCCACCCATCTACCATCAGGGGTTTTTTTTTTTTAAATTACTTTATTCACAATAACATAAAAAGTAATTTGGTAATGTTTTCTGATCCACCAAAATATTAGATAAAAAACTCAAATACAAAAAAAAAATCAAAAACTCTATTTTTGGTACCTATTTTACACTAAAAAACACAATAGTGAAGTTTTGGAGGTATTTGGCCATGACTTCCAGATAAAAATTTGACTGACTTTTTGAAAATACCATCATATTATGACATTATGTTATAAGCATGCAAGGTGCAAAAACACAAGAGGTTAAAACTAACGATAAAAAACGCTTTGGAGCGATCGCTGCATTCGTTTCGAAATATTAGTTACACATTAAATTATATAATATAGTTCTATTGAATGTACTAGTAAATTGTTTAACCAAAATCACTGACATGTCGAGGAATACCTTTTGGTCATTTATTATGTCTAAATATTGTATTAGATGTCTACCATCATAATTTTTTAATTATGTATCTATGCGGCCAAGGAGCACAGAATAGTGCAAGATGACGCTAACGTCAGACTGTCAGAGTTAGAATTATTGCGAACCGATGCTTCGTGCGTCAGCGTCACGAATGCAAGCCTGATATTTCTCGTCTTAAAATTGAATACTAATTGTATATTTGCTACACATAACATTGTGATTTGTGAATCCTTATTACATAATTTGTGATAATAATATTGTAATTTAATAATATGTTATCGCTAATCCAATATAACTTAAAACCGCGATTATACATTTATACAATTATACCACACATTATATTGGATATATGTACACAAATTATACATAAATATAATTACATACAACTAAAATTATACAAGGTGATTCGCCATCATACATTTTCATTGTTCATCTCCGTTTTTTTTTCATCATAACTTTTCATCTGATACCTGCCCTAATGAATTTATTCAAATTCTGATTTTTAGAATTTTTAACTATACGTACCTACTACCTATACTGAATTTATTTTAAAGTAAATACTTATAGATTTGCATACCATTTAACTATTTAAGGAATGTCCTGTGAAGATATCAACTGCCTATTTTTCAGACGAGAATCGATCTTTATTCTTAAAAATAGTGAAGTAAGTGGGTAGATGATTTTTTTTTGAAAATGTTGATTCACCCTTTTGAATAATGAATTAGTAGTTTTTTAATTATTTAACGGAGTGCACTAAGTGTAATATAAATCCACGACATATTTAAGGTTTGGAAGATGTGAGGCTATAATGATTCGAAAATTAAAATAATTTATAGGTATCAAAGTAAAAATTATCTGTATGTAATGTCTAATAAATTCTAAATTAATTAATTTAATATGACAACTACCTCTGTTATAAATTTATGTATTGTTTTTGGGTAATCTTAGAGTAAAATCACCCATTTGAAAATCATAGAGAATAATACTGATTGATTTTCTCAAAAAAATGTCAATATCATTTAAATTTACTAACATTTTTAGTTTTATTTTGAAAGACGAAAGTAGAACACTGAAAAAGTCAAATAAGTAATAATAAAATATAAAACTGATGATAGGTATGCCAAACCCTAAAACATATTATCCTCTATAATGTTTGTAATATGACTTCCTCTAAATATGATATTATGTATGTATCTTAACACCTCAAAAACTAGTCGTTCAACTGTTCAAGTATGATATATATGGTTCTCATTTAAAAAAGAACCTGTGGCGTCACAGGACACTCTTTAACTGGTGTGAAATCATATTTTAATAAATTGTTATTGAATATATGAAACAAATTTAAAAATTTGAATTAGAATTAATGTATTATTTAGAAAAATGTAGGTGAATTTGATTGGTGCGACACTTTAAAATAGAATTTCCTTATTTCCCACCACCCACCACTAGTACACAATGAATAATCTGTAATTCGATGTTATTTTACTATCTCGTGCTTATAAGTTATATCCATGTGCCGATAAAATAGTAATAAATAATAAGTACCCAATAGCTAATAATATATTTTAGTCCGTGCTATTATTATTTTAACAAACGGCAATTAAATAATTTGGTACCTACTACAGACAACAATAAATAGGTATTTTAGTATGAAAAAAAAACATTAATAATTAATAATTTCAGTTAATAAACGTTGAATGGTTTTGTGATCGAAGAACATGATTGTGAAATTATTTTTCAGAATTAATAATGCCGATTATACATATATTATCGTACATTACACGATTATACGTAGTGGGTATAAAAAATTAAGATATCTTAATTCGTATTTCGTGGTGGGTACACGTCTTGAGTTTTTGACTAATTTTCTCGGGGTTATCAACCGGTGAACGTGGATCAGTACTAAACTGATAAATGAACAATGATAAATGATAATATAATAAATCAGCTCCAGGCTATTCTACCTCCTACCGGCTACCAGGCGGACGTCACAGAGGCGAGAGGTACAGAGGCACAGAGCCAATTTCAGCGAATGATTCAACACGTGTTTCTTGTAATCTAAAAATTTCGTTGCCAGAACTTTTGAATAATTTCAACTTTCATTGTTTTTGTAATACCTATATTGCGAAGCTATGGCGACTACTGATAATTTGGGTAACTAAACTTTAATAATGAAATTGTAATATTTTCATATGACACGTTAGAATAACTTTTTTTTGGAATATAAATTATTGTAGCCTGTAGGTAATTATCTGGAAATTTTCTTGACTTTACCGTTGTGAAAAAAAAAACGCACCGGGATATTTGGACTGGGTGCTTAATAATTTTAAACCGGTTTAGCCTAGAAAATTTCTAGTGTAACACTTACTTTAGTAACAACAATAAATTCAGAATTTTACCAACTTACTATTTTACTGGTACTTGCCTAAATGTTAATGCATAAAGGTATTATAAATATTTATTCAATTCATTTTTATTTTTTATTACAGATACTGAATTATAATGTATATTTAAAATAATTATGCACTGTAATTTATTTACTATACAAGAACAAAATAAATTGTTCCATTATAATTATATTTTATGATTCCAACAAAATTATTTAATTAACATTATATTTTTTTTAGCTCTTATTAGTGTATCAGATAAAACTGGATTATTAGATCTTGCAAAAAGCTTAGTAGAAGCTGGTTTCAAATTGTTGGCAAGTGGAGGAACTGCTTCTTTTATAAAAAATGATGCAAAATTACCAGTTATTTGCGTCTCTGAATTCACTGGCGCACCAGAAATACTTGGTGGGCGAGTGAAAACTCTTCACCCAGCAATTCATGGAGGTAACCTTTATGCATACAATTAATAATTATAGTACTATAAAATATATAATTTGTATGTGTCACATAATACTAAATAATACTGAAATTATCAATGCTATTTATATTTTAGGTATATTAGCACGTTTAATACCTGCTGATCAGAACGATTTAAAGCAAAACAACTACAGCCTAATAAAAGTAGTAGTATGTAACCTATATCCGTTTGAAAAGGTTGTAGCCAAATCCGATACTAATGTTGAAGATGCTGTTGAAAATATTGATATTGGTGGTGTGACACTATTGAGAGCTGCTGCCAAAAATCATGAACGTGTCACAGTACTTTGTGATCCCGCAGATTATTTGGAAATATCTAAAGAAATATCATTGAACAAAGACACGCTTCTAGACACCCGGAAAAAATTAGCATTAAAGGCTTTCACTCATACAGCAACTTATGATGATTGCATATCAGATTATTTTCGCAAGAAATTTGCAGGCGGTGAGAGTCAAATGAATTTAAGATATGGCATGAATCCTCACCAATGCCCAGCACAACTATTCACTACAGATTTAAAACTACCATTAAAAGGTAATGTAGCTCATGTAAAATAAGTATTAATTTAAATTTGGCAATGAACGGAGTTATAAATACGTTTAGTTAGGAATATTTTCAATGTCTATAAAATATAAATTTTATTTATTAAAGTTTATTAAAACCTTGGAATGTATTTCATTAGAATCTGTAAAATTCATACAACACTTTTAATTAAGTTGCAATGCTTCATGGTAGAAATGTATGATTGGTATATTACGTCCTATTATAGTACAGTTTTTTACATATTTAATAAAGTTAAGACTTAAAATATGTAATTTTTATATATTTTAAACTTTATTTAAAACACATTATTACATAAATGATTAACATATAAAAATTAATATTAGTAATAAAAAGCATAGGTTCAAAACCAGAACTTCTCTAATTACTTATTGGCAATATTATAAGTTTTAACAGTTTAGAAATATAATTGATGTATTATTGTTTCATTTTTAGTAATTAATGGTTCACCAGGGTACATCAATTTATGTGATGCCTTTAATAGTTGGCAATTGGTTAAAGAACTTAAAGAGGTAACAGGTCTTCCTGCTGCTACATCTTTTAAGCACGTCAGTCCTGCTGGAGCTGGTTTAGGCATACCATTAAATGAAATTGAAGTAAAATAATTATTTGACTTCAATATAATTTCTTTTGGATTTATTAAAAAACTTTTTTAGGCATCATTATGCATGGTGAGTGATTTACTTGAAATTATGACTCCGCTTGGATCTGCTTATGCCCGTGCCAGAGGAGCTGATCGCATGTCTTCATATGGTGATTTTATTGCTTTATCACATTCTTGTGATTTAGTTACAGCTAAAATTATTTCCAGAGAAGTAAGATACTATATAAAATAATACTGTTGTATTTATTATTGAATTTTAATGTTTTTTTTTAGGTTTCTGATGGTGTGATTGCACCTGGATATAGCGATGAAGCTTTAAATTTGCTGAAAAAAAAGAAAAATGGAAATTATTGTGTATTACAAATTGATCCAAATTATACACCTAAGCCTGTAGAGCGTAAAGTTTTGTTTGGAATGACCTTAGAACAAAAACGTAATGATGGAAAAATCGATGAAAATCTTTTCACCAATATTGTAACTAAAAGACAAGATGTAAGTTTATCATTATTTTACTAAAAATATGTATTATTGATTATTGTTCAAATATAAATTACATATTATTTATTTTGATTTAGATTACAGAAGCAGCTAAACGTGATTTGATTCTTGCTACTGTAACATTGAAATATACACAAAGTAATTCAGTGTGTTACGCTTTCAATGGTCAAGCCATAGGAATTGGAGCTGGGCAACAATCAAGAATACACTGCACTAGACTAGCCGGCGATAAAGCTGATAATTGGTAACTAAAATTGCATTGCAGTTCATTTGAATCGAATAATATTTTTGGTTTGTCTGTTTTTTAGGTGGTTGAGGCAACATCCATATGTTTTAAATATGAAATTTAAAAAATCAGTCAAAAGAGCTCAGATAGCAAATGCCATTGATGATTACATTGGTAAAACTATTGGAAACGGCCTTTCACGTACCAGATGGGAAAGTTTGTTTGATGTCATTCCTGCGGAACTAACCCCCGAAGAGAGACGTGCCTGGTCTGCTAAGTTGAAAGGAGTTGCATTATCATCAGATGCATTTTTCCCATTCAGTGATAATATTGAAAGAGCTGTTCAGGTATATTTAATAAATAGTTGTAAATGTTCTCGTTAAACTATAATATTAATATTGTTATTTCATAAATTGTATTTAGAGCGGAGTTGAATACATAGCTTGCCCATCTGGTTCAACAAATGATCAAGAAGTAATTAATTACTGCAATGAACAAAACGTTGTGTTGGCTCATACTAACTTGCGTTTGTTCCACCATTAATTTAGTTCAACTGATTCTCTTATATAATTTACATTGCAAAATTTATTTTTGTTACATTGCTCAATATTATAATACATAAGCTAAGAAAATTTAATATTTTTTAAGTTTATAATTTATATTGTAAACGTTTTATAAACTATTTATATTTGTAATAAACAATCAACAATACATCAAACTGAACATAAGTCGTAGTTATAGGCGTTATAGCCCTAATTCTATATGCTAATTGAATGTGGTTACGTGTTTACTCTGTGTACAAGCAGTTATACTTAGTTGTTAGTAATTTATTTTTGTCTATCACTAGTTCTTATTTTAGTCTACACCAGAGCTTAAACACTCTAAACATTGATAAATTAGTGAGCCTGTGCAAATTTATCAAACTTTCTAATTAGTTACAACTATAGTATCAAAAATATAAATACTTCCGTTTTCCTCATAGGTTAAAGTCCCAGCCTTCAACACTGAAAGACCTACTTAACAATTGTTTTTTTATGCTAACACTGTTGTCATTATATTTTTGTGTAATAATATATATAAGTATATAACTACTAATGTTATCCAATTGGACAATAAATTTAGTGTCTAAAGATGCTAAAAGTTATGAACAATAATAACTATTTTAATGTTGCATTAACATGGCTGTACTAAGTGGTAAACAACAATTTTTTTATAGTAGCACTGTACTATCAACAAGCATTATTTATATTGTACAATATATTTATTATTATAACGAAAAGGCCCCTCCAAAATGAATAATTTTTTCACATGCCTTAAATTATGTTTATTCAACCATGGGTTGTTTGGCGCAGAGGCTGGAGCCCTAGATTTTGATGTTCAACAGGATTGAATAACGAATAGAGAAAGAAGTTACTCACACTAAACAAAGTTAATACTAAATTACCATTACTGCAAGAGATATTGTCACAGAGACATGATTCGGATGAATGAATGTGTAGGTATTGCAGATAGGTAATCTACAATTTTAATGTGTATCGATTAAAGTAGTTTTGTCATGACCGACAGATTTTTGACAGGTATTCATCGCTGTTCAAAACTTATTGTTATTCTTAAGAATTTTTATTTTATTAAAATCCAGAATCTTAGATCTTAAATTGTCATACACAACAATCTATTTGTCACGTCGTGATGCACGAATACTAAAATATATCATGATGTGATCAGGGGTGTATTGAAGCGTAAATTAATAAAAATATTTTTGTAGGTAAATAATAGTGAGCAATGAGCCTATTATTTTATTATTTGTACCTTTTTTTTATAACTCGACATGGTGACTTGGCACACCACAACCACACCGCTCGAGAATCATACAGAGACATCATCAGCGCCAGCGGAAAGGCCAGCTGCCCAAGGTCCCGCGCTTTTCATGACATTTGATGATTTTTAAGCCTATAATTTTGTTTTTCCAATTAAAAACAAAAGTTTTGCAGTGGCGGCTTGTGGGTTTTGAATATAATAATTGGAATACTTATAATAAACGGGTGGGAGTAAAAATAAATTATAATGCCGGCGAACGACGGGGACGCCCAAAACAATTTTGATGTTAAAATCTTGAAAATTTTTTAAACTTTTGTTTAACACTTGTATTTAGTGTACTTAGTATACCTAAACATTTAATTTGTACATATTTTATTTTAATAAATATTTAAAAAATTTTAAAAATTCTTCTATCTAAATACTATAAATACTAGGACGTGACAGTAAATTTCTTTTGCCTTGCGAAAAAAAGTTTCTCGGTCCCATGAAAAAAATCTGCCCCGAGTTCCGCAAAAGGCAAAACCTCCCGCCGGCGCTGGTCGTCATAAATATATCTGATGTGTAAATAGATCGTCAATTCTATGAGATACATAGACTGATGAAAATATATTTATATAATATAATATAGCCATATAGGTATATTACCTATATAAGACAAGTAGGTATGCATTATTAAATTATTTGTGTTTTTTGTGTTGTAACTTGTTAAAGAAGTCTTGTTTGAGAATTAAAAGAGTGAGCAATATTGATTTTCTAAAGCAGCAAGAAATAATTTCGGACAATGTGGCGTATCTATACTCAAAAGTCAAAACATAATTTACTAATAGGTACTATAGGTCTATAGCCTATAGGTAACTCTGGATATGATTATGGACATACACATAATTTTACACTTCCACAGAAATTCTGTGACTGTTTCTCTGTTCTCTAGCCATTGTTCGTGAGTTCATTCCAAGTTACTATAAAAAATAAAATATAAAAGTTAGTTTTCTATGAATTGTGATAAATTACGTCCACTGTCCACACTCCACGCTCAGATAAAGACAATATTATTATTTATTATTTAATAATTATTCTCCATATTTGTGATATCGCCATTACATTTTCCCTCCATTTTTAATCAAATCTTTGATAATAAAATAATATTATGTTATATTGTTCAAATACAATGGCATTTCATAACTTATGTTTTCAAAATTCATACTCCGTTAATAATACTACTTGTTTACCTATAAAATTATTACAATTTGTTCTTCGTTTGATGATTAATTCATAACCGATAGTTCTAGTTTACCATGATGTTATCGAAATCAAAAATTGCTTCAATCAGAGATACGTTAAATTCTGAATTTCCATTTAGGCAGGTACAAATAAATACGTTGTCCAACTTCTTTTTAAATGTAAGTACAATTTTTATCTTGTTCATACACATTTTGCAGATTTAGAGGCGATGCAATACTTTTTTTACTACTCGGAGTTTCAACGTCTACTGGACTCTTGTTAACTCACGAAACAACTCTCAATAGTATCTTTGTGTTGTAACTGTGGAGTTTAATTTTTATTTAAGTATTATATGGTTTTTTTATTCTACAGGAAGATGGAGTTTTACCTCCATGTGTTTTTATCCATGGTCCACCATCTACTGGTAAGACAAGTTTAGTAACTCGATTATTGTATTTACTTAAAAAATCAGTCAAATCATCTATTGTGAATTCTATATGCTGTTACACAAGTCGATTATTATTTGAACCTATTTTAAAAGATTTATTAGGTAAGTAAATAATATCCAACATATTATGTTGACATAAGCACATTTTACATATTATTTGTTTTATTTTTTCTCTACAGAAGTTAAGCAAAGCAATATACCTAATCGGTGTGATTATTTTATGCAATTTTTAAACATATTAAAACATGCAGAAATTCAACAAGAACGAGTGATTATAGTGTTGGATAATTGTGAAATGTTAGGACAGGAACATATGGTTTTATTTTCAAAATTACAAGAGCTTATAAAAAGTTATCAGTTTAGTGTTATATTTATTAGCCAAGTAGTTCCTGCTAAATTTAATGAGGACATTAATTTTATACCAATAGTGTTTGAACAGTATAATAGTGGTAATATTTTAAATAGATATTATTAGTTCAAATAATTTATTAATTATATTATTTTGTGTAGATGATGTATCTATTATTTTATCAAGGGATAAACCAAACAATTGGAGTTTATCTATTTACCAAAATTTTTTAAATGTTTTTATGGGATCTTTTTATGGAAGCTGTCGAGATTTGGTAGAATTAAGACATTTGGTAATTTTATAAGACAATAAATAATAATATATTTGGTGGAATTAAACATTTTTTTATTAATTCCATATCTCAATTTGTAGGCAAAACTCCTATTCATCAAGTATGTAGAGCCAATAGCAGATGGATCATGTGCAGAAATCAATCAAACTTTACTATTCAGAAAAATTAGTCCTAGTATTCACTTTTTGCTCAATAATGTTTATCTTGGATCAAGGTACCTATACAAAAATGTCTTATCTTTACTTAAAAAAAATACTCATATTATGTAGTTTTATACAATTATATGTTTTATTATAAGGGTATTTTAAAATATGCATTTTAGTTTAGCATGTATTATAAGTAAATAGAAAAAAAAAATAGCCAACCTCATGATATAGGTAATTTTCTTAATTGAAAGATTGATAATGGGTGAATTCACTAAAATATTTAAAGGAACAAAACAGGGTTAGTTTTGCATTTCTGCTGAACATACGTTAGCACAGTGGTTTTCAACCTGGGGGTCGCGAATGATAGGTTTGGGGGTCGCCAAAAATAATAGATGAAATGATTTTTCCATTTTTTTTAAAAATAAAATAAAGTTAATTTTTAATTTTGTTTTATATAGAGAATTATAGATTATAGAACATGCTGAGGAGCGTATAATCTTAATTTTTTATTTTTTATCTTATCGATAGCGGATATGGATTATTAAATTGTTCGTAACTCGTATCGTATACATAGGATAGGTATATTTGAACAATTTCAGTCGCAAATATTTATAATAATCAGTTCCTACTTAGGTGTCATTCGTGCAGTAGTGCAGTACATGTATCTCACGCGATATAAAGTACGTTACTATACTGTTTTAAAATGGAAAAGTATCCCATTAACAACAGTTTATGTATTATGTATTTTTTTATATTTAAATTTATTGTATATGCTTGTATTGTTTTAAAATAATGTTGTATTATGAATTAATTAAATTTTTAAGAGTAAATTAATCAAAATCGTATAACAAATAAATATTTTTTCAGTAATTAAATCAAATTTTGATGAATAAAACAACATTTTTTTTTGAAGGGGGGTCGCAGTACAAAAAAAAATAAAAATGGGGGGTCGCGACCCAAAAAAGGTTGAAAACCACTGCGTTAGCATATGTTGTGTATGGGTCAAAGAGAGAAAACAAATAGTACAATGACATCCTAATTAGTTGTAATTATTTAGTTAAATTCCCAGTTGAAAAATAAATAAAATTTAAAATGTTCAATTACTACTATTTTTATAAGGCTATAATAATTATGATTTCAGTTTGGAAAATATCAACAGTTTGTCTGATGAGAAAACAAAATTTGAAAAACTTGCTCTGGATTTACCATATTATGCCAAATATTTTTTAATTGCTGCATATATTGCATCATTTAATTTACCAAAATATGATAGGCAATTGTTTGTTAAATCATCAAACAAAAAAAGGAAAACTGATCGGTTAAACAATAAAACAGAAAATTCTGCTAGTCAACTAGTTGGACCTAAGGTTTTCTCGTTAGATCGTTTACTAGCAATATTTTATGCCATTATTGAAGAAAATACAAACATGACTGCCAACCTTTTAGCGCAAGTAATTATATAAAGAAACATTATTTATTTTAACTGTTTTAAATTTTTTTTTTTAACAAAATTGATTATTATATTTAATAATTATAATGTTCTATTTTTTTGTAATAGATTAATACATTATCGGATTTGGGACTATTAATACGTTTAGGCGATGGTAAATTGGATACCCCTAAATACAGATGTAGCGTTAGTTTTGACTGTGTCAGTAATATTGCTCGGTAAGTAAATAATTTATATTTTTTTATTAATAATCCGTTATTCCCAGTGCTGAATTGAAGGGAGGCTCTTTTATTTTATTTTACTTGGGGGATGGTACAAAAAATTGCCGAAATAATTTTTATTAAAATGTGGAGTAGATTTAAATTGTTGTCAATGAAACCTGAGACACCTAATGAATTTTACATTTTTTAATATTAAAAATATTTTTTTATATCATCCATGATTTAGAATACTTATAATACATTGATATATTTTTTTAAACATACTAGTTTATTCTTTTTTCTACATTTAAAAATGCCATCATATTATAAATCTAACTAATAACATTTTTTTTTTCAGGACAGTGAAGTTTAATTTAAATAAATATCTTATAGATAAGTAATACTTAACTATATAATTTTTTTTTATCTTATTTTTTTATAATATACTGTTAGCCATTAGTCTTTATGTATTTTTGTTTTAATATTAATAATTGCCTTAATAATAATAATAATAAATTAATTAAATTATACTAATAGGTATTACTAAAATGAGGATATTTTTAGAATAAATAGTAGTAGCCAAGAGATTTTTCATCATTAAAGTTTGCTTTATCTTTTATTTTTTGTTATGCATGTCTTTTCTTATTTTTTTTAAAATTTCTATCTAACACTTTGATTAGAAAATATACTTATCTAATGGCTAATTGTTTTCTTGTAATATACTAATTTATTTAAATATATTGTTATTAATTTGTATAAGTAATAATTTATGATCTGGTATAACCAATGGTAACTTCATGGCAAGTACTGACAAATTGTAAATTGTATTTAAATCCGGTGTTATAGATTGAATAGCATTTGGCTACTGTTCAATTAATTTTTTTATTAATGACGGGTTAAATTGCAAAATACTAAAATACTGAATGATGGTGCCCTGTGGCTGCTGTGCAATAATTCAAATAATAAAAATTGAAAAATATTCCATGGAAGGTTCTATGAAACCAGAATACCGAATTGACATTTGATATATATCATGACTAAAATTTAGTTACTATAATATAGGTAATTGTATAGTCATTAATTAGTCCTGTTCAAAAGTTCAAAATATCAAATAATATTGTATTATATTATTGTTGTCGTCGTCGCACGAATGAGATAAGAGATAAGAGCAATTCGGCGACGATGATCTGCATGATGTTGTGAACGGTTACACGTGATTAAATCCGTTTGCTGTGCGAGACATGGGTAGAACAAAAAAGAGAATAAAAATAAAAAATATAAATGATTAACGAGTTACGAGACGACGTAGGACGACAATAACAAACGAACGGACGGACGGAAATCGGTCTGTGAATAGCATAACTTCCGTAGTTCCGTCGCTGGCCCGGCGGACGACAAGTGATCACAGAGTGGGTTCCCGACGTCTGCTGACGGACAAACGCTTTTGGTGAGTAGCAACAATTTCCCTTCGGAGGCCGTTTGGCAACGAAAAGGCGGCGACTCGGTTTAGTCGAACTGCGCGACATTGGTTTACAAAATGGCGGTGCGTTGGCGAACCTCGCGGCGTCAAGGGTACCGTAAAATGCGTGACGGCGGCTGTCGAGCTTTTCAGTTTTTTCGGGCTAATCGGCGGCCAGCGGTCGCGGATACCGACGGTGGGCATTTTTTTAGGTCCCGTCCCGCTTTCCCGCCGCCGGCCACTGGTCAGACGGGAGATTTAAATATTATTGTTATAATAATTACGATCGACGGTTTCTGCATAGTCTCTTAGAGCCCTCGGCCCGATAGAGTCGTGACTGTTGACGATGGGCATTAAATTCGTTATCGATGACTCGACATTGACACTGTCGTGGTCGTCGAAAACACTCGCATTAACCATAGGACACGGTTTTAATAAAAAATACTGGGTACCTATGATTATTATATTTTCGTAGTCGCCGAGGACGTGACTCGATCCGATTATTTGACCCCACGGCCAAATGCCAATAATCATTACGACTATGAATATCGAAACAAAGGTCTTGCAAGTACGGTTTTTGATCGCGCCGTAGACTCACCTCTGCAATAGGTAATGGTCAAATTGTTGTTTCAAATTTTCGTTAATTGTCACAATATCTTGTCTACGATTGTCGTCTTTGTTATTGCGAATTACTTATGTCGTGCTCTGGTAGTTTATTTCGATTATTATCGCTTTTGGGTCCCTGTCGTCTCCTGTGTGATCAAAACCAGTCTCACCAAGTTATCTTGTAAGACCTTGATCAAAATATAATGTTTATAACCTAATGTAAGGTAAATCTCCTATGAGTCATGGTTTGCCATAGTGGCAAAATAATTATTTTGTAGAGGTTACTAACTGGTAGTTAATATTATTAAAATACCTAATATTTATATGAAACCTGAAATATTGTTTAGTCATGTATTAAATGTAATTAAATTATTTGTGTTATAATTTATTTCAGGCATTTTTAAGCATACAAAATACAAATATCTTCAAGAAAGATGTCTTCTGCTTTAGAAGAAAGGGAAGAACAAAGTTTAAAATGTTTTATATGCAATATCAAAGTTACTACTCGTTCATCATACAATATTTATTGTACATTTATGCCTCAAAGAGAATTGTTGTTAATAGATGTCATGTCAAAAATACTTAAAAAGGTTTTGAATCCCTCTCTAATGAGAAGCTCAGTATTGTGTCGAAGGCAAATATTGTTCCATTTTGTATTGTTAACCCTATCTGTTCCAATTAAATACTTTAGTTTTTAATGGTTAGATTTCTAATATTATATTTATCCTGTGTTTTTAGGTGTTTTACACTTTTTGATGAGTTGGATCAGATATCTACACGTTTCACAAAGCTTCAGACGGACATTATTAAGCGTTATACTTCTACATGTATTGAATATAAAGATGATACTGATATTAATGTTGTTAATAGTATGGTTCAACCAAAACCTGAAGAACTTTTACCGAGTGAACAAGAAAATGATAAATCCTTTAATGATGATGATGAAAATAGCGAAAAATCATCAATTGCTCTAAATGAGGTAAATTATGAAGATCAATTTTTTAGATTTAGAGCAGAGGATTATTGCTACACAGTAAAATTAATAAGTAGTCTACTCAATAGAAACAGTGCATATGATTTTGAAAGAAGTGTTATAGACACTAAATAAAAAGTCAAGACACTTCATTTGTTACCCTAACCATCCTCAGGAAATCGAATGCACAAAAGTCAAGCGATGCCCATACCGGAACTGGGATGAAAACGTGTGCTATGTCTATCATATTTCTTATCCATTTCACTCTTTTTAGTTACAATGACCGTTTTTGAGTAGCACAGAAGTTAAGATTGGATTCTGAACATAGATTATATTTTACAGTGTCTTAGAAAAAATGTAAGCAACTGGTAGGTTATCTATACAAAAAATAAAGACCAATGTAAAAAGAAGCTCTAACACTAGTTGAGATATAAGAATCAATTTACATAAACTATTTTCCATTTTAAATTAAAATTTGCTTTAGTTGTACAAATTTTGATAAATTATCAGTATTGTGTTGTTATTCTTTTAAATATAATTGAATTATTAGTTTATTATAAAAAAATTAGAAATATCAAAGAAGAGAGATTTCTTTTATAGGTATGAATTTATGTGTGCAATTTTAATTTTGAAATTTTGTTATATTGCTAGATAGTTGAGAATATTATAAGTACTATACAAGCTGATGAAACTATGGACAACAATGTAAATTCTAAAGATAGTACTTCTGATACTGTAGAAGATAAAATTAGAATTAAAAAAGAGGCAACAGAAAAAATGGATGGAGTAGATATCCCAATATCTGTTGTTGAAGAACGAATCTGTGAAATAAGTAAGGATTACAAATAATTAAATATTAAAAAAAAAATGTTTAAAAATAATATTTTTTAATTTTTAAGAATCAAGGGAACATAGTGTTGCCAGTGTTGGTATTAATTACCAATGTGAGAATTGTGATGATTCTTTTCAACAAGCTTCAGATTTAAAGAATCATTTTACCACAGTTCACCAAAGTCCAAAAGGTTTCTTTTGTTCATCTTGTGATATAAGCTATTCAACCAAACAAGAATTAAATAATCATTTGTCTAAAGAGCATGCGACTTTGGATAAAGATATAATTGATGACCCAGTTGATTCAATTTCTTCAGCAATTAAAAGTAGTTAAACATATTCTTAGAATTCTATATAAACTGCTTATTAGGAACACCAATAATTGATACAATCTCGTTATTGAAGCAAAATGTCTTGGATCTACCAGACTAGTCTTAAATTAAAACATGTAAAGCAATCGAATTATTAAAACAACATATCCGTTATTTAAAAAAGATTAGGGCTAAGGTTGACTACAATATTCAGTTATTTAATAATAACCAATTTACTGTAATTTCAATGTTCTATATTATGTTGTTACAATCTTTACTGATTTTCACTTATCCAATTATAATTTTGGTTATTTCATTAAAACACCTAGAGCAGGGGGAAGCTGATTTTAGAGTGGCATAACAATGTTTAAAAACTCATTGGACCAAACTTATCCCAATATTATTACCTCTCTGATATTTTCAATGCAGATGAGACTGGGCTTAATTTTAGAACCTTACCTGAACATATTTATGTACTCTAAAGTGACAGAGCCAAAGAATCAAAGACAATCAAAGAACGACTCACAATTTTGTGTTGTGCCAGTATGAATGGGGATTAACCTTCGTTGATAGATACATATTTGATTGTTTTAGATGACACAAAATAATTTGATTTTTTTTTTATTATACTTTTTTTCATAATAAATAAAACCAATAGCTTAATGGAAATAAACGATTAATTTCGACACACTTCACCTTGGTCAAAAAGTGTTTCTAATTGGCGACTTTTAATGGAAATATTAATTGAACTTTTATTTTTTGTTTATAGTTGAAAATATAACTTCCCAATGTGATACAGATTCAATCATCGTCACTGAGGCTAATGATGATTATATAAATGAGACTCCTGAAGATGTGATAATTGATGTGAAACCTGATTTTTCTATTGATGATAGCATGTATTTGGAGGAAGTTGTACAGGAAGAAAATGAAGACGATGATTTTGAATGGAAAGAAGAAGAACAAATTGACTATATTGAAGAAAATATCATAGAAGATAGTTCAAGTGCAATTGACGAAGCTTTTGCTCCTTCATCCGGATCAGAAAAATCTGTGAAAAGATTTAAAAAAGGACAGAATAAAAGGGGTAGTTCACGTTCTGGTGAACGCGCATGTTTACCGGCTATACATAGTTGTGCACTTTGTGGCAAAAAATGGAGGACAGTCACAGAGTTAAAATCTCATATACAATCACACAGTTCTCTCAGGCCTTATGTTTGCGAGGTATCTTACTTATCTTTTTGTATTATGTTATTTTCAAATTATTTTAAATCGTAATATTGATTTTTAGATATGTGGTCAAGCCTATAAAATGAAAAAAGCTCTAGATGTGCACATTGGAATGCACAATGGCATACATCCATTTACTTGTGAATACTGTAACAAGTCTTTTACACAAAAAGTTGGTCTACAAAAACATATTCCCATTCATACTGGATATACACGGTTTCAATGTGATCTGTGTGGGAAGCGATTTATTCATCAAAAAAGTTTTCACATCCATACAATGACTCATACTGGTGAGAAACACGTTAAATGTACTGAATGCGGTTTGGCTGTTTTGTCTCAATCACATCTAAAGCGACATTTACGGGTCCACACCGGGGAGCGACCGTATGCTTGTCCAATCTGTGGGAAACGTTTTGCAGAAAAGTATAACATGAATGCTCATGTGCATATCCACGAGAATAATGGAGGACACGGGCCAAGAAGAAACAGAAATCATATGTGAGTCAAAAATTTTTAATTGTTATTGTTGTACTCAAATTTAAAAATAAAATAGGACTTGGATTTTTAATAATTAATTGTTTACTGAAATTATTAAACTAATACAGTGCTCTTAAATGCTTTTCACCAGTAGATGTGCCTACCAATTTATGTTTTAAATATTAAAAAGTTGAAAATAATGTATATTTTACAAAGTAGAATAGTAAATTAACTAACATAATTAAATTAAAAATATGTACCTAACCTTACACAATAATAATTAAAGTAAAATCAATTTTTTTATACAGTTTTTTATCTTAAAGATTTTCTTATTGTGACTTATACCCATTGATTATCAATTCTAGTATTTATAATATTTTGAACTGTGTTGGTCCTAAAATTTCAGTAGAAACAGATTATATGATAATATTATAAATATAAAATATTTTACTGTTAAACATGCCATTAAAATAGTAGGCATTTATTTAAACTATTAGTTGTAACTAATAAATAAAGATATGCTTTAAATATTAAAAAAAAAATTGAAAAAATCTGTCTACTTATTGAGCACTGTTTATTTATATTGACTATTGAATATTGATAAAAAATTTTAATTTTAATTTTAATTAACTAGATGTCAATTGTGTGGTATGAGTTATGATCGAAAACATAAACTTGAATATCATTTATCTTCAGCTCATAACAAAATTGATAGTAAACTTTCTCAAGATCAAGAATTAGTGCAACTACAACAACCAAAACTTGAATACTTTCAAGAAGTAAGAGAATTAAATTTACACCTAATAGTATTGTGTCATAGAACAATTTAGATAGTCTCACTCTTAAGTTAGGAATGTTCAGTTAATAATTTCAATTACTCACTTGTTGCTAGCGGACCTATCATAAGAATGATATCTGCTCATCTTGTACCTCATTTTCACAATCTTGATCAGGGGTCTCCAGTTGTTTTTATATATTTTTATAGTTATTTTTGAATTTATCATACTCCCCTATACTCTGCTTTAAAGGCAATAGTCCCAAAAAAACCTTTGGTACTGCCACTGCTTCAACATATTGTCCATGTGTCATTTCCAATTTACCGATTTTTTAATCTTAAACTCCAAGTTCATAGAACTATATATTATGCACATATTATAGTTGTATGGAAATGAGTTTAATTCAATAATTGTCAATTTACGAAAAAAAAAAATAGTAAAATGAGATTACTTTTTTAAAAATTAAATTAGTTTTTACCTCACTACCTACCCAAACATTTTGGCAGATGATGTTGAAACGTAAAGCTCAGATTTGGCCTGTTTTAGAAAAAACAGATACCCCTGGTCCATCAATCCCAAATTTCACATTGCAAACGTTATAGTTTTATGATTCCAATTATATTATGAAAATTAATGTATTAAATATTCTTATAAACTATATTTTATAACTGATTTTCATATGTTTCCCCATGAATGAGGCAATACAAAAATCAGAATAATGTACTAATGTCCTCTCAAAAAATATGTAATATAATAATCAAATGTATTATTTAATTAAAATGCAATGTTTAAATTTGCTATTTAGAATTCTCAAAGTCACCAAATCATCAACGTGGAGAATAGTGCTATTGATCATAATGGTAGCACTACAATGATAACTGTCAGTGGTGTCAAACTTCCAATAACCTTAGACGACACTCCAATTATGGTTGCTACAATGCCACAGCAACCTCATACTACTAATCTTGTACCACTCAACATACCAGCCACAGATTCACTTCTTGCTTACAGCCCATCAAACACAAATGATAATAATGATAATAATGATCAACAGTTGGTTGATAGTTCACCGAATGCTTATATGCCACAAAACCCTGTTACAATACAATTATCTTAAGATACCCAGTTCATAGATAAATATTAAATGGGTAACTGCAACCTCAAAAATCACAAAAGACCCTCGTAGATAATGCTAATTTGTCAAACTCTAAATCTAATGTTTTATATAGACTATAGAGATAGAATCCTAGATAGTAGTTTCAAATATCTATTTTCTTATCCTCACGTTTCTTAAAATTTAAAGTTGATCATGTCTAGTAAGTTAGTGTCTATCGTTGTTCCATGCACAATCTTATTCTTATTAGTTATAATTAATAATATAAAGCAATTAATTATTTAACAGTAAATTATGTATGCTTTTATCAATTGATAATATCTATGTTGCTATTACTATTTATTTGATAGAAATTCTCTCAACATAATTCCACGAGTACTATAATACGTATTAAAAAACTATAATCGTCAGTTAGTTAATAAAAAAAATATATTTCTTAAACTCTTAACTTTTAAAATATGTTTATCTAATAAACAAATATTTGCGTGAGCTTAAAAGTAACTAAAAAAATATTAGTTTTGTGCTTTAATATTTTAAATGATTTTAACTGTATTATTTGTGTAATATATATTATTAATTTTTTTTTATAATGGAGTATCCAAAAATAAAACTCGTAATGATCAAAAATAAAAGTTTAATTCATATTAAACAATTGTGACTTTTGACTACTGATTTAAGTTTGAAATATTTAAATTACAGCTACGAATTACTAGTTATTAAAAAATATCACATTTCTTAATGGGCTATTAAGAACTATTGAAAACATAATTTTTCTAAAAATATATTTATTGTAAATTTAAGTTGACATCACAGTTTTCTTTTTTTAAAGTTATTTTCTGTTTTTAATCATTTTAACTTTTTATTTATTGTTGATACTTCCTTAAAAGTTTATCATATTTTGGAGTTATGTGATATTTGGTGTATTGATATTTTGGGCAAACTAAAATAATTCTCATTTTTTGTTTTAAAATAATTAAATTTCTTTGTATTATTTAAAATATATAGTTCTACATTCTAGTGTAGTAATCATTCTGCTGATGTATGATGAACAATTCGTTTTCAAAATCTAACCTTGACAACCCTTATTTTATGAAGGTAATCTTATTACTAAAATAACTGCTATACCTGTTAGAACTTATCATATCCTTTACTAGGTATAAATTGTTGAAAAAAGACAACATTGTATAGTTGACTATTATATTTTATCCTTTTTAAAATGTGGCCATTTATGATTTATATTGTATTTGTAATTATTAAAAACAAAAATGTTTGACTGATTTTTTTATTTAGACTATAAGATTAATTCACTTTTTATTTTAATGTTTTGCATTTTTACTATATAATATTGCATATTAATAGTTAGGTGATTTTTTTTATCTTATGACTCATTTAACTCATTAACATGGTTGATAGTTGTAATTTAGAAACAAAGAAAAATATTTGTATTTATATTCATGCAAAAAAAACATCTTCAATCTCTTAAAAACGTTTATTGAATGTAAAATGATTGATAATGAAGTCTGATTCAAAAAATCTCCTTTTTTGATAATATATTATAGTACTTATCTTGTAAATGTTGATTAAGTGCCATTGGGTATTAAACATGTGACGGTTTATAATTTAGTATTTATAATTTCTACGTTTTTATTTATATGTATTACTGCTTTACAATACCAATTTTTTTTAAGCATTAACTGATTATATTTACTGTTAGATTATTATTATTGAAGATTATTTATAATAAAACAAATTTTTACTAAGCCACTAATATTATTTTTACCAGAATATTAGGATATAATTATTATTATCTGTATTTTGCAATTTTCATATGTATGAATTTTTTTATTAAACAATATATTTTGATACCAATTTGTAGTATTTAGATACACTATTATATTCAGTTTATTCATTGATTATAATACTGTATTGTGTTACTGTTCCCTTATTAATACCTATTTAAAATTTACGTTATTGCTAGTCAACTTTTTAAACTTGAATTCAAATCAAAATTTAACCCATAAACTGTTTTAGTAATAACAGACGAGTAAGCAATATTACAAAATGTTCATTATAATGATGATTCTATTTATTTCCATAATGCCCATTAATAAAATTTCATCACTGCTAAAATGGTTCAAATCTTTAAAACAATAATCTAAAGCAATCACTCGTGTAAAAAAACTAATATAATGTTCCGATTTTTGTACATCATGCATTTTTAACAATAAAAGAATCATGTATTAGATTATTTAGATTAGTATTTCTTGTCTACAAAGTATTTTGTTTGAAAGTTAGTAAAAACGTTTAATTGTTAAAAATATAAACAGCTCAGTTGTTTTATACCAGTGGTTCTCAATTGGTATGTTGTTTATTATCGCGAAGTGTGTCACGAAAAATTTTTTAATTATGTTGTACCAGTTTTATCTCTTGTGTTTAAAATATGATTAACATATGAAATTACTATGGCGTTATGACTTGATAGTAAAAACCACAAATAAGTAAATCAATCGGGAAGTTTACTTTGACTTTATAAAAAATCTGTAAATTGTTTCTGAATTAGGTTGTCGTCATAAAAAATATAGTTAAGGAGCACTGTTATAATTAAAACTAAAGTTTTTTACTGTTACTTTAGAATATGTCAACAAGGGTGGTCAGAACAAATTAACAAGCATGTACTTAAGAAGAGTTAGAGATAGGTGACTAAATAAGTTATATCATTATGGTAATATGGTAAGTACCTAAGAGTTTCGAGGTCATAGACATGAAAATCTAATAGAAATTCAACCATTTATAAACAGTATTATTGTTTATGTAAATCGGTTCAGATAAAATGTATTAATTAATGACAGTACAAATATTGTCAGTTGAAACGCAATATCAACTCATTTTATATTAAAAAGGTTATGAAGTCATTAGCCAACAAAATCATGTGAATCACTTTGTATTCATTAATTAGCCAATAAATGTTGAGTTTCAGAGTACGTTATTTTAAACTTATAATGATCAACTTATTATAACTATTATTAATACTCGTAAGTAGTGAAGTTTTGAAGGACTTCAAGACAGTAAGTTGAACTAATTTTCGACAATAAAATTGCATTTGAAAACGTCATTGTGTATTAGTGTTTATAAAACAGAATAATATACTTTAAAAATTCAAGTAGGTATCCTAAGAAAAATAATATTTTTTTAAATTCTGTTAAATTGATAATTAGAACTGTTTTCATGTACGAATTGGCAAATATTCCAGTTGAAGGTAAACCATAAAAAATATTAATGGAAAAAAGTAAAATCCTTATATTTGAATAACATTACAAATCGGCCGAGATTAATTTTCAGCTTGTTGGCGATGTTAACTGTATATTTTCAACTTCTAAGCTGGGATATTATGTGTGAAAAATAATTTTAACAGATACCTACCTAAGCTAATCAAATATCGAACGACATAATATCGTACCTGTTTGAACTTCGAAGTTGGACGACTAGATGAGTAGGTATTAGGTAGGTAACAAAGTATTATTATATAAGCATAACATTAATATGAACTATAGAATTATAGTGCGTTCTCGTGAAGTTAGACCTCGATTACTGACTACTGTAGATTTATAGCTTATATTAGGAAGGTGTAATTTTTGTAATAGTGGGGCCACGGGGTGGCAAAGGGGAAGTTTGCCCCTTGGAGGGGGGCTTCGATCTACGAGGCATTTATCACCCCACGTTTTAGAGGTCAGTTGTGCCTATGGGCATGACTGCATCAGTACACCCTAGGGGCTAGGATGTGTAATTTTATTTTTAAAAACAAACATAAAAATGTTAATTTTAAATGTACAATTGTTGCCGCGTAAAATAACGTTTCAGACTCCCCTCCACGAGACTTATCATATAGATTATAGATTTAGGCACCCATTTTTACCCAAAGCGGGTAGATAGCGTTGCCGTTATCGACTGTTTTTCTACGAATACACCGGCTCTGCGTTATCAGTAATCACCCAAAACTTAACATTTGAATTTTAAGTACACTGAGCAGTTTTATTAGTTTAAACTTTAAGCACAGAAGTACAGAACCCAATCTTAAACATAGACTTCTATACAAACTTAGTATAGAAGCCTGGGTTATTAAACCTTGCATTTGAGAACTGACAAAAATACAAATTTAGTAGGTATTCCAGTTCCAGTATTTACAATGTTTGACTGTTGAGAAAATTTGAAATTTGTTTAATATGCTTAATGATTGTATAAAATATTTAAATACTTAAATTGTTCATTCGTACAGTTGTGGAGTTAGACTCTGATCATTAGTTTTTTTCCTCTTGGCTACCGTCACAATGAATGCAAAATTCTGTCGGCTAGGCGCCAATGTTCTTGCTTCAACATATTCAAGACTGAAGTCGACAATCTATGCACTCTCTTCAGGTAAATTTTCTTCAATTTTTACCAAGTTTAATTTTGATTTTTCATGATTTATTAAATTTTGAATTATTTGTTATTTGTTAAATACATATAAAGTTGATAATATTGTAGATACCCTGTAATTGGTACCTATGTACAATATTTATCTAGGAATTTTTTTTACTATTCAAAATAGGTAGGCGGTATTATATTTTACCATGGTAGGATTCTGACCAAATAAACAGTTATGAAATGAGAATATTTATTCAAATCAGGCCTCAGCCTTGGTGACTTGCCTAAAATGTATGCATGCATGTATGTCTAAAATTCATAATTTATTTTAGGACTTGGAAAATGTGGTGTAGCTGTTATCCGAGTATCTGGTCCATGTACATCTGATGCTATATTAAATATGACTCATTTAAAATATTTGCCAAAACCTAGAAAAGCTAGTTTGAACAAAATTATAGATCCAATTACTAAAGAACAATTAGACAATGGAATATTACTGTGGTTTCCAGGTGATGGTATTATATTGTCTTAATTATTTTTTCTTTATTAAATTTGTTATGTTTTAGGCCCCAACAGTTTCACTGGTGAAGATTGCTGTGAATTTCAAGTACATGGTGGTAGGGCTGTTGTCACTTCAGTTCTTCGTGGCTTATCTAAACTACCAAATTTTCGACCTGCTGACCCCGGTAAAGTTGTAATGACTTGGACTCAGATTTTAAAGCTCAATAAATAACAAAAAGAAGCATACAGCCATTTTGTATCATCTGATTTATAATTACAATTTATTATTATTCTCAGGAGAATTTACCAAGCGTTCATTTTATAATAACAAAATGGATTTAACTGAAGTAGAAGGTTTGGCTGATCTTATAGAAGCTGACACTGAACTTCAAAGAAAGCAAGCACTGATGCAGTTGGAAGGTTCTTTGAGACAGCTCTATGATACTTGGAGACAATATCTTTTAGAAGCATGTTATTTATACATTTGCGTTTAGCAATATTGTAATACATCAAAGTTTCTACAATTTTAGAATTTAGCCTATGTCGAAGCTTATATAGATTTCAGTGAAACAGATAATATCGAAGACCTAGTGTTAGAAAATGTTAAAGAAAACCTAGAAAAACTAGCTAAAGAGATTGAGGTGAGTTAAAAAAATTGTAATATACCAACCGTACAGTTAATTTTATATATTAAATTTATAGATGCATTTAATGGACAACAGGTCAGGTGAACTTTTACGCGATGGAGTCAAAGTGGCAATAATCGGAGCACCAAATACTGGAAAGAGTAGCCTCTTAAATTCTTTGTGTATGTATATTATTTAATTTGGTGATTTCATATTATATAATAAAACAAACTTTTTTATTCATGTAGGTAGCAGAGAAGCAGCTATAGTAACAGAATTGCCTGGCACAACTAGAGATCCAATTCAGGTTCCCTTAGATGTGTCTGGTTATTCTGTACTTATGATAGACACTGCAGGAATTCGTTCACAAACTGCAGATTTGATTGAAGACTTGGGAATAAAGAAATCTAAAGTTCAAGCTCAAAGCGCCGATATGGTGATTCTGGTAATTGATGCTCAATATCTCCTCAATGTAGACAACATGGATTTGTGGCTTCAAAAACATATAGAAAATTTGAAAGTGTGGTGTGATAAATGTCTAGTATATGTGAATAAAATTGATACTGTGTCAGACGACCAAGTTGATAGACTTAAAAAGGTATCACAAAATTCTAATTGGACCATCTGTTATGGTTCATGTAAAGTTAACGAAGGTTTGATGGATATGATGAAAAATTTTGAAAATTATTTGCAAAAATTGTAAGTATATTGTGATTTAAGTGTACAGTGTATTTGTTTGATGTTTCATTAAATTGATGATTTTAATTTTGCTAAGATGTGGAAATCCGAATTTCGAACATCCTCGATGTAGTCAAGCAAGACACAGATATTGTCTCTTAAAAGCATTGAATAATGTTCAGACATATCTTGAAATTTCTAAGTCAGACGAAAACATTGATGTTGCTGCACAACATTTACGTCAAGCAACATTACAAGTAGGGAAAATTACAGGACATGTATCGACCGAGGAAGTACTCAACGTAATATTTTCAAAATTTTGTATTGGTAAATAATAAGATAATAATTGATTTATGTATCAATGTACTTTCTATACTAAAGCTTTAGTTTAGACATTTTGCTTTTAAGTATTTATTAAAATATATCTATTTTTATTTTATTATTCATGTAAACCTGTACTTGTCTGAGGTTACAACAACCAAACTATCCGACATAGCATTAATAATTGTCCTTGCAATCATAGGTACTATATTGAAATATTATTTAAATGTTGTGACTTCTCAAATTCTCCCTGAAAACAAGAGCAATCAAGGTGTCGGATATTCGAGTGTCAGGTAAACATATTTATATTAATTAAATTAGTAAATTTTAATAAAAGTTGAATGTAAAATTATTTTGTATACAATACACTAATATAATATAGTATTTTATTGAATTTTTGAATAATTGTTGACACAAATTTATTTATAATAAAACTTGATAGTGTCGGGCAAATGTATTGTCAGACAAATGGTGTCAGAAAAGTGTGTTGATCCAACTACAGGCTAACTCCTCTCCTCACTTCACCATATCTTGTACTACTTAAGGATAGGGTACCGTTTATTATTAGACAACTCAAATTAACAAACTATGTTGTCACCTACTTGTTATAATGTTATTGAAGAAATGCATTTTATTGTAAATTGTGATATCATATTTTAACTGTTTTAATATTTGATATCTTGTTGGATATGAATATGTCTTATGAATTTCTAAAATTTTAAAATTAAAATCACTAATATTGAAGGTAACAACTATAGCATTATATATGCATGAAACCAGAGTACAGGTGTTTTTATATCTGTTGCAATCACGGACGAAGATAGTACATTTTAGTCCGTGGTTGCAATTATACATAAACATCATTAGAATTAAAAACTAGGTTAGGAAACATTTATGTAATTTATAGCAAAATGTATCATTATTAATCGTTTTATTTTTTTGGTTATACGCTAAAAGTTATACCTAATAAATAAAAAATACTGAATAAATCTAAAAACTAAAAAAAATCTTATGGATATAGAGAATGGCCAAAACAATTGGAATTTGAGGATCCTGTATATAACCTAATGATTAGGTCCTAAAACCTTCTCACCTGCTCAAGACAGGAATTTTAATTTTAAGTTTTTGACTATTATTTAATAAATTTTAATAGTTAGACATAAATTCAATTGATTTCAAGATACAAAGTGTATTCACAAAATATCATATTATTAATTTTGTTCAATTTATGGCATTTATTGATGCCTTGATGGCATTTTACTTACATTTCCTTAAAACCTTTCTGTTGTCTATTATCTCACTCATTCATCTCCGGAGTCTCCGGTGTTAGTGTTTCTTTTTCAATTTTCATAGACAAATCATTTATATAGTAGTGTCATTTTACGTACATTGGAAATACATTTTTTTTACAGGTATATTAATTAGGTAGGGTTAGGTATACAGCATAACCAATTTTATTTAAATAAATAAAAACAATTTAACTAGTATTTTATTACAGTGGCTTTTTTAGATTTTCACTTCTGTACTTTCCCATTTACTTTTACGTCTTTTTAAACTTTTAAGGTTGAAAATGAACTCTCACTAGTTACGCTATAGTATAGTTATACGTATAGTGTTGAAGTATTCTATATTTTCCGGAGTAGCGTGTAATAAATAATATTAAATAGAATACAAAAGTAGCGAGCTTATATTATTATAATATTAAATTTACCTATAATATTATATAGCATGCAACATTAAAAACCCATGAGGTTGTTGAATATTATCCCCCGGCGCTCACTCACACACTCTGATTACGCCAATGCTGATAATAATATAGGTACATATAAATAATAATAAACTATTGAAAAGATTTGATCTCATCTGCTATTTTCTTTATCTATTTATATTACATATTCTGATTTAAATTAATAACACAATAAGTAATAATAACAATTAAAAAAATATGAGATTTATTGGTCGACACGTTTGGCGTGGTGCCGTGGTCCGTCGTACATCGATGTAAATTACGTAGCGGTGATCGAGTGCAGCGTGTATAATATAATACACTATATACAGAGACTCCGATTTCATTAGTCGCTGAACGTGACGAATGGTAACTTTTTATATTTATATTGTTGTTTTTAACAGATTTTATGAACGAGTCGTCGTTAAAAATTTCTGTTCTAAATAGGGTCGTCAGATCGCAGCGTACTCTTGGCGAGGGCGAATGATATAATATCGGAGTGCAGTAGCTCGTCGCGTGCCTCGAAAACCCCAAAGATCAAAGTGTCGTAGTCACGATGATAGATACAATATACTAGGTAATAATGTAATATTAATAAATAATAACGTATTGACGCGTCCCGGTGTTTTTATTTTAGAGTGGCGTGCTACGAGTGATGATCGGTCCGCGTCGTCTATATGCGAGCCCTTATAAGAGAACACCCATTTCCGGCTTCAGCTTTCGATCTCCCGGTAATTCGCTATAATTTCGTCTAGGCGGCGGTCGACCGTAAGAAACATTATAGCTATATGAATATAATATTGTTTTCGTGCGTTTCCAGTCGTCAACATTTAGCGTTTTCTCTTTCTTAATATCATACAATTACACGACGATGTTAATAATATTATTGTTATTATTATTGCTATTGATATAGGTATAACATTTTGAATTGGGTGCATCGATGGGTATATTATAGTTGGTATGGTTACGACGCGGCAGCGGGCCGATCGGCATCTCGTCCACCTCTGTGATTCAATAGATTTGAATCGTTTTCTCGAAGAGTGCATGTTCGACGTGTTTCTGTCGGTAAGGTTTGGACACGTACAATGCTTCGAGGAACAATGGTTGGCTAGTCGTGTTCTCGATCGGTCGAAACCATAGAACGAATCCGATAATAACGTCTTCTATACGACAAAAAAACAATGTGTAGATGAAGCAAGTATCTAAATCTAACACGTAAACCACTGTATTGTGGATATTAATGTTAATAAGGTGATTAGGTACCCGCACTCCGCAGCCATGTGTGGTTAGATAAAGAGAAGTAAAGCTTTGGGTAGTTTGTGTGACAAGAGGATGCCGTTGACAATTGACATTATGTGATTTTATTAAGTAGTAGTTATTGTGCGGCCAGTCGTGTTGTATATTATGGTGAGTGAACTGAGATGAGAACTCTAAGGTGGATATGTCATTTATGGAGTGACTATTTGCTGTCTAATCTTCTAATTAATTTATAAAGGGTAGTATGGGAGAGGCAGCACCAATTATAGACAAGCCGAAGGTCAATAAGTTGAGATGATTCTGTTATATTACGAAGAGAGCTGACTTGAAGGCATTAAGACACGAGAGTGGCTACGTATGTAGATGGAACGAGAAGAAAAGGAAGACCGAAGAAGAGTATAAGGGATGAAGAGACAGAATATAGAATGACATGAAAATATCAGCTTAGGTGAGTAAAAGAAAAGTGGGAGGATAGCGTCATGGAAGTATAGGACAAACTCTAGATAGTCGTGGGCGAAGGGCGAAGAAAAATAATAAGAGATAGATAACACATAGTATGATTTTTAAAATCCGGATTTGGTTTAAGTCTAAGTTTATAGAATACTAGAATTACTACCTACAAGCAAGCCTGGGCAAGTTAATGATTATTTTCACTGAGTTAAGTTTATTTGATACAAAACATATCGAAAAGTTTAAAGCTTATAATAGTTATTCTAATTTTTTTAAACTCAAGTAAGTTAAAAATTATATGAAAACTTACAGTTAACTTATTAGCTTAAATTAATTTTTTTAAATACACAAATAACCAGTAATATGGTTTAAAATAATAAAAAGTAAATGTTTACCTATGCAATATGCATCATCAATAATTATTTTATTTTATTTATTATTTAATTATTTATAAACTAACGTAACTTAGATTTGATTAAAAGTAACTCGTTATTTATTAAGTTTATATCAATAAAAATGAGTTAAGTTAAACATTATGTCAATAAAAAAAAAATTTAAAAAAGTGAATTTAAAAAGTTAAAATTAACTGGTTTATGTCCAAGCTTGCCTACTAGACATAAATTGTATGTTAAATATCAATAAAAAAATTAAATTAACTAAAATTACCTTCTTTCCTAGTTTTTGCTATGAAACATTGGAAACTTGGATTTTGAGATTCAAATCCGTCCTTCCTGAAAGCTACAAATACGTAGGAAATATTATAATAGTGGCAATATCATATGTTGTACTTATAATTAATTTAGGGTTTTGCCTATGATCAACGTTATGCTTATTCATTTTCATTGATCGTTGAATGTATAATATTATTATGCATAATACCTAAAGACATAATTAATCTGTTTATTCATTTTTTGAGAATTTGAATTTGAGAGTGGTTTTTTTCGTAAGAGCTAGTATTTATTTTTTCCTCTATAAAGATTAAGAGAAACGGTTTAGAATAATTCTAATAATTCATCATGAAGTTGTCTTGCTGTAAGTATTGAAATAATGAAATCACTTTTTTCTCAAAAAAAAAAAAAAAAACATCAAAAACTGTGAGCAAAATAATAATCTTTGTTTTATATCTCACATTTAAACTTCCGCTATCTTGCAATTTAGGGGCTCGGAGTCAATTTTATAAATGGACGAGTTATTTAAGAAACTTCAAATCGGTTATCACTTATCACTTATCAGCGTTTACAATAATACGCATAGATGAAGTAAATATTTCATAAAATGGCGACAAATGCATACTGTAACCGAGTGTAACTGTATTTTAAGTATTTTAACATTTATATACATTTTAGTATTCAAATATCACTCACTGTCTTTATTCAACTGTCTGCTGCTCGGTATACCGTATTCGGAATAGTATTCCTGAAAAACAAAAAAATAATGAGGATTAGTTTTTAAAAATCAAGATAATATTACGTACAAAAAGTACAATATATACACTAGATGGGACATCCCTTCACTTTTTAAATTCTATTTTCCATCCATACACTTAGTTTGAGCATTTTACATATATTACAATATAGGTAAGTATAATTTAGATTTAAATCGATTATGGAAAATCATTAATTCGGTTTGTGTAGTAATCACGCAGAACCACTCTCGCATTCCAAGGGACCCTCAACAGAGATAAGATTGCGTAGGTAATAGGTATAATAATAACATTTTTTAAAGTTTATATTTATACCACTCTATAGTTAGAGTGAATAATATGACATAATAAACCACTTAAAATTATTGTTGAACGTGTATTGTTAGTTATAATTCGTATATAGAGATTAAAATTGTATTTGCGAATAGCTCAGCAGTAGCCAGTAATACTGCCGCACTAGATTATATTAACTTATAAGTACCTATAAATAGGTAGGTACCTAGGTACGGACTACGATGAAGATAATATTAACATATTTGCATATACATTATACATATATCTACATCGTGCTGTAACTGACAAACAGTCGCGGTCAACGAGTGTCTTCTGTTATCATTGGTGAACTTATAAATTATATTAGCTATATTATATTATTATATTAGCTTATAGGTGGTACTCTTTTTGGTGATATTCTAATAAAATATAACTTGCATTCGCGGTACGTCAATACCCAATTATAGCGATTTTGACGGATAACGACCGTTTCGGTCTCGTGTGTATTGGCTGTTTTTATAATCTCTTTTACCTTATGGGTGGTTTGAGAATACAAATGTTCACCACCAATATGTCAAGGGAGGGATGTTTTATAACTTTTGCTGACCACAGTAAACATCATATAAATTTTCATTGAAGTAACCAATGATTATCTCATGGTTGATATTCATTCGACGATCAATTGTTTTTATCGCAAATTCCACTGTAAGGATAGGTGTCTCTATCATATTATGTATCAGTGGAGGTTAAACCTAGCCTTTGGCTAAAAGACATTTAAAATATTTATTATGCCCTAAAAACGTTTATATGTGTAGAAAAACATTTTTGGTAAGACTCAAGCCTCCATATTCAAAGTTCTTTATAATTGCATCTATGTTTATACAGTTATATTGTCATGTATCATCATAATATTAGGATTACTGCCATAGTATTGTGTATTCGTGTGAATCCCAAGTGCACGACAGCATCAAAAAATTTAATTTAACGACACTAGCCATAAACATGTTAGTGTTTACGCAAGACAAACGAAAAGGTATTTAAAACTAAAAATAGTTGTTTTAAAGTAAATACACTTATCATGCAATTTATCAGGGTTTTGTAATATTCTAAATATATACCTCGTTATAAAAGACACAACAATCTTATTTTTTTACATTTTTAAGTAGATAGGTAACTAACTTTTTTAACAGCTAACATTTCAAAAAACATTGATGAGGTGGTTCCTCAAATATTTTTTTGTTTATTAGTAAAGTCCATAAAAAGTATTTTTGTAGTATATTTAACAATTTAGTATTGGCCTATTATTAAACTTAATAGTAAGAACATTATCCGTCAGTTGTAAATACAATATTTTAATTTTTAAACTAATTATGAGTTTTTACTTTTAAATATTAACATTTTACATATTCTTAGTTTTCTCAAAATAAGACAACATTGTAAAATTACAATACCTATATAATAATACTACGAATTATATTATCTATCTATTATCTCTATAATATGGTATTTCTATTATCTATCACCTAATCAATAATAATAACTGTGTTCTAGAAACTAGTAAATATATGAAACTACAGATAGACGAACATAGCTGAGGGATAATATCCGGATATAACTATACACCTAAGGGCTAAGGTAGGTATTTCGACGTAGGTACGTTTGGAAACCAGGGGCGGATAGGCATGATCTGACCGGCCCGGGAGAAATAGAATTTAGCGGCCCACGTGATCATATCCAAGATTTAACAAAATAATTTACTCAACTTTGAGGGAACCAACCCAGCATCCCCCCCATTTTTTGGTAGGAATAACATGAATTTAATATTACGCTATTAAAAGTTACTACTACATTTTTTGTTATTTTACTACATNCCGCACTATTATTGGAACCGCTCAATGTACATTTTAGTATATTATAATTTATAAGCAACGGGTACCGGCCCGGGGTACGACGTCCTCTCAATAACGTTCAAGTAACGTTTAAGTAAGTGTCGGTTATTTCTACACGTGATCATCGCTTTTCACGTTCGGCCGCGGTATCGGATAAGCCGATATATACAACACGTGTCATAGTCGTGCACTCGCAATCACTCTATCACTGTATAATATATTATTATATATATAATTTATATATAGGCACATCGTAAAGGTGCGATAGGTGTCCGCGTGTATTTTATTATCTACCTATTATAGAATACCTACATAATAAAAGGCTTTTCACGTGAGTTGCAACAGGTCTGCACACAGTACACGCGCGCCGTGTCAAATGCCAACAATTCGAATCCGGTTTCTCGGCCCAATAACCCACTGGGTTAAGTTCAATGCATTGCAACGGTTCTCAACCTTTTTATATCCACCTACATAGTTTGAAAATATTCATGTACCTCTTGACCAAATAACGTTTTTTTATTTTACTCATCGAAAATGTACCTACACGTTATTTTATGTACATGGAATTTTATTTTATTCCAAAATAATGATGATAATACAAGCATTTAAAATGAATAAAAAGAAAATTAAATATGTACAATTATAAATGAACCAAATAATATTTCCATTTAATTTTTTTAGCGTACCACCTATGAGCTCTCGCTGTACCACTAGCGGTATTCGTAGCATACTGTTGATGTATTGTATTATATAAATATAATATGTTTGGGTGCTTTCGATTACCTTAGTCGGCCGATTAGTAACACAACAAATCTACAGATTATCATTTGAATTAAAAGTAAGTATATCTATGACTTGTTTTATAATTTACAAAATCAATAGTCGAATATCGGTCACATGTCCGTTTATTGTACATAATATTATCATACAAATAACTACATAATTAATTATTCGTTCGAAATCCACTAGAGACTTAAGTAAAAAACGGAAAAAATATTTATTTTTTCCAACAGGGTTGTATCTACCTATTTAATGATTTCATAGTATTATGTATTATGTGAAATTTCACAAATAAACTATATTATTTTCGTAAAAATATTACTAATAAGAGTAACCTTTAAAATAATCATCTTGACACCTCATATTATTTCGTACGGTCAGGGTTGAGAATCCAGAATCAGTGACCTAACCGCTGGCAGACGCGACTGAAATGTCAAGAAGACATTTGGGGTGGCTACTGACTTTCATTTGCATTTTAAATGTTACCACTAAAACTATTCAGTGTGTTAGTGGACCCTTTTGATGTTTACAATATTATTAATTAGATATACGAATGATGATATATTGATATGACTTGCGATTGGCTGGTGTTTTACAATAAATAATAAGTTATGACATTCGTCGAAGGACCGAACCAAATGGACAAATATTATTTCCATCCGGGATGTAACGAAAGTCATAAAGCGAAATACGGGCTGAGTGGCCAACCCCTATTTTTATTAATTGCACTTAACTCTTGTGGCATATAAGTACATAACATAATAAATACTATCCAGAATACTAATTAACAATATAGTATTCACTTTTATGTTTCTTGGACCTTACAAACTAATCAATACCTAACTAATATTTATAAAACAAGATACTCAAAAAATATATACTAAATACATATATAGAATTAAAATGGATAATTTTTAGTGGGCTATTGTCTATTAGTATTATTGTTAAATCATAAATAAAAAATAAAAATGATACGTTTTTAAAACATGAATTTTTAATTATTAATTATTACCTACTTATTACCATACGTATAATATAAAACAACTAATAACTACCTAATAATCAGTATAATATTATAATTAATTTCGAAGTTGAAAGAATTGTTTTTATTTTCAAATGTTAGTCAATCAATATAATATTTTATTATGTATTAACTTTCATGTAAATAAAATATCGAATATAGTTGAGAATTCATGTTTCAAATCAAATAAGATTAAAAATAAGCTAAGTACCTATATCGAGTAAAATAAAATTGTTTTTTTTTTGTTAATTAACACATTCGATCTTAGTAAAATATTATAAAGTGAGATACCCAAAGTGGTGAGGCGATATCAGACGTATAATATTAAGTTTTTTTAATTATTACTTTAAAATTTTACTTATAAAATGTAAATTAGTAACCGAACAATCTTACTTGTACTAATTCGTAGATTTGGTCGCAGTCGTCGATCACGGCTGGACAGATGACGAAATTAACTTGTGGGACACCTTCGACCAATGATTCCATAGCACATAACGTTTTCACTCGGCTCATTTTGTTTTTATTTGTGAAGACAAATTTGACTTGTTTGATGATTTTGGTTTAAAAAGTGCTTAAGCTTAATGCCAATATTGAATATTTTACAGTTAAAATGTTGGTAAGGTATTTAGTATAGTATAGATTTTATATCAGTTAGAAAATAGTATAATATATATATAAATAATATATAATATAATATTTTGTTGTATTTATATATTGTATTTACTTTACAAAAGTAAAATAATTAATAACATTTATTCAAATGAAAAAAAATGTATTGAACTAGGTACATGAATTTTTTATACTATACAAGTCTTATACGTTGACTAGACGTTACCTAAATGGAACGTTTAATTTTGAAGTATAACCTTTTATATTTTGTATGTAACTATTTATTTGATGGATGATTAAATTAAATAATATCAAGAGTTCATATTGAGATTAAAATGTGTGACTGTTGTACAGAGCGGTGGAAAAAATCATTTTTTTTTTATAACAAACGTTTGTCACGTGGCGAATTCATCTTGATTCATTATATAGGTGTTAAGTATTTTTATGTAAATATATATATATATGCATGTACGATAACTAGTTGCAATTTAAATTTTTTTAAGATTTTTATGGTTGTCTTTTTCGATGTGATTCACATTTGTTTCGAGGTTGACGGTAAGATTTTAAATTTATTTACAATGTTTAAATAACGTAATTAACCATATTATTATTATTATACAACTACCTACCTCCGAATAAAGTATATATAGATTATAGGTAAGTCGTAGGTATATAGTTTATATTACTCTAAGATAATCTATATTATCAAGTACGTCTTCATCGCAAACACTTCATACTTTTACTTATATATTTATTACAACAAAATACTACTGATAAAAATATTTTTATTTCCATAAACTATGCATTGTATCAGTGTTTTTTTACATACCATTCTAGAAATAGAACTATGACGTGACTGTACCTACCTACCAAACTGAAGGTAATACTATGTCTATTATTTTTTTTAATTCGATTTATTTTTACACACTGCCGATAAGTATCATTATAATATATAAATATATCAACGATTTCCCAAAATACAATGCATTAAATATTTAAATTGATAAAGTAGGTATAGGTACCCAATTTACTAAATACGATTCTATTAATGTATAATTCTATAACGTCATGAATTATTTAACGTTTGAACTCATTATAATTGCATTAAAATTTAGAACTAAAATATCGAGAGAAAAAATTGGCGTACTATGCCATTTAGCTTTTAATTAATAATAATAAGTTAAAACTACAAGTCATTTTTGCCATAAAAGTTAGAGATTAAACTATGCAATGGAGCGAGATTCGATGCTGCCAGTCGAAGATGGTGTAAACGTGTTGTTAAAAATTAATTTTGTTTTATTAATACTACAATATTTTTAAATCGAAAATCGGCGAACGAAAGCTTAGGTTAGGTTAGGTTTTGATACAAATCGATTGATTCAAATTCGTTTTTTGTGTTAAGGTACCCCAAGTCCCAGTGTTTTAAATTCAAAACAGAGTTCCAGAGTTTGTGTATTTGCCTCATACAAATGAGAAAAATGTTCATCAGAGAAACATAAAGTGCTAATAAAAACTATTAAAGATTTTTATTTTTGGAATACAGAAGTAGGTACTTACTGAAAAATGAATATAAATAAAATATATTTAAAGTTAATAAATTCTTTAAATACTAATGAATTAAAACAAATCAAGAACAGCTAGAATACAGATAATCACATCAAAATAGATCATGATATTCACATAAGTCACATCATAATCAGGAGTATGACAAAATTAAATAAAAAGTACAAGTAAATAATTTTGTGTTAAAAAAATAAAAAGGACACACTCCTATCATTATTATATTAGATTTAATAATTACCAATATTGTTTTGTAATGCAAATTAATATAATCATTTTAAACATCCATAAAATGGTATTAATTAATTGTTGCATAAAAAAGGGTAAATTAGTAGTTGTTTATTTATAATATTTTCAAAACATTGTGTGAATTGGTTTGTTGAATATTTGTTTTAAATATAATGCCATAACGAGAACAATAGTTTTATGATTTTAAAATATAGACTTACAAATTAAACATTATAAGAATTTATTAATGCCGGGATAAATTTTTTTTTTTTATTGATCTTAATCATCGGCAACCATTAGCATTTTGTATAGGGGTTATAGTAGGCCGAAGTACACGTGTATATGCGGCGAGGATTTGTCGCTAAAAACCCTGATGATCACCCATCCGGGAACTAGCGGCGTCGGCCGATGCTTGACTTCAGAACACGTTAGTGACTGAAGCAACAACCTAGCCACACCAGCCCCCTGCAGATAAATTAAATGCATACAAAACGTGCATAATATTATTACAATATTCATATAGATTTTATTGTTTAGTTGTATATTATATAATGATTATTTTATTACTCTTCACATCAATATAAAGTATCGAAATACTTATCCAGTCATAAAACCGCCATCTACGTATAGGTTCACACCATTTATCATTTTTGAATAGTCGCTCAATAGAAATATCACTGCATCAGCAATATCATTGGGTTCTGGAAAATTAATTATTAATTACAATATATATAATATAATCTACCTGCTACATAGTACAATAACAATACAGTTCTTAACAACAGTAATACACAATAGTGTACAAATATGTAAATGTTTTTACTAACGTGCAAATCTTCCTAATGGTATTCTATTCAAAATCGGTTCTGATTTTTTCGGATCAGACCACGCTATTAACCCCATCTTGGTCAATACAACAGTAGGATTAACATTGTTTGTCCTTATTCCAAGAGGTCCTAATTCTATGGCCATTGTCCTGGTAATTTGGTTCACAGCTCCTTTAGATGCACAATACGATACATGATCTGGTATGGCTCGCTAAAAAGTAAAAATGATATTTTTTAATTGTAGCCACACTATATTATCTGTCATGAAAAATGTCAAGAAAATAAAATCTTTTTTGAACTAACTACTTCTTACAAGTTAAAACTATATTGTAATAAGTAATGTAAAATGTTATAATTTAAAATGTCCCTACATTTTAAACCATTTTACACTGTATGTTTAGATAGGTAATACTACCTAGGTATACGATAAACATACAATAGTACAGATTATTATCAATAAATAATAACCTCAGATATGGTTGAGGATATGTTGACTATTGATCCTTTGATTTTTGCAGCAATCATATTTTTAGCTACAGCTTGACTTGCTCTTACTACTCCTCTGGAATTTATGTTTATTGTACTAGAAACCAAAATATAGTTTGTATTATTAATTGTTACATGTATTAATAATATTAGATTTTTTAGATTTGAATGTGAAAAATGGTCATAAATTACTCAATAGATGATAACAGTACAATGTAGAGTTTGGATGTTTCGTAATTGCGACCAATACAATAAATAGGTACTAGGAACTAATTAGTGTAAAGCTAATGTTTTTAGCATTAATTTAATTCATTTTCAAAATACGTATGCCCGTGGGTCAAAGACAGATCGGTGCAGCTCATAATTTAATCATCAGATATTCTATTTTCTTATCCGTCACCATTTTAAAAGAAATATCAAATACTCTATGTAAAGCAATTAAGATAAATATTATGTAATACTTATAAAAACATTCATTGTCTAGAAATAATTAACTTTAACTATATGTCCAGTATTTAATTGTAATATGTAGATATTACTGTATTAGATCATGGATTTAAAAACATAATATTTGTTTTCCAAATTAAATAAAAGGCCCGAAAAACAGAACTATCGTAGAACAATTTACGATTTGCATTTAAATTGAATGTTTTTATTTAGGGCGTATGCGCATTAAAATCATTATTCTTTATTGGCTTATTCCCTCCAATGTTAAGAAAAAACAATAATTTAAGAATGTCTAACGATTTAGACATTAATTTTGGAAAAACAAATAATCGAATAACTTATCGCTTATTGTCTTATTTGCTTGGTACATGTCGCTGTTATCGTAGCTGTAGTTCCTAATTTCCTTTTTTCATCAATATAAGTTAATCTGCATTCGTACTCATCCCATCCGTGTTGTGTCGTCTCCATAAATGGTTCGATGTGAGCTACTCCAGCGTTGTTAACTAAACCGTGTACGGGTCCCATTTCTAAGATCTTTTTATATGTCGAATCCCAATCACCAATGTCCACATTCACTTTGGTCAGTTTTAGGTCAGGAATACTCGGTAGACTGTCTATATCTCTTCCGATTGCGAATACGTGAGCTTCCATTGCTAACAGTCTTCCAGTAATAACTTTTCCCATGCCTATAATTAATGAAGAACAATAATCAATCATAAGTTTACACTAGAAGCTAATAAAAAAAAAATATATCATATAGGTACAAAGTTATGTTTATTTTTCACTGGTAAAAACTATTAGATAATGAATGAGATTATAATAAATTTATTATCATGTAAAAATAGGTCAGTGTGAATGTAAACAAATAAGCGTAAGTATAAAATTCAAATAATAAAACACCAGCTTCTAACAATTATAAATCTAGAGATTTGTATCGAATTAAAGACATTCATATTACTGCGTGAAATGTTTCTGATTGCCGTAAAAAGGACATGAGACCACTATGACAAGAAAAGTATCAAGTATGTTTCGGTGGTTGTGAATGCAACTAGGTATGTGATACTATTATGTCTCGCCATCCAGGTCTTAAAGAATTAAAGATGACCGATAAACCGAACAGGATTGTTTGTTGTTAATAAGATAGGCTAAAAGAACACACCGTTTATATAGGTTCATCGTAAATCGTAATGTGTACCGTGTAAGTATTACTGTATTAGTGTATACCATTGATTTTAGAACATTCTATTAAAATTCTCAAGGCTGGGCACTTACGAGTTAAAAAGTTAAGGTTAAGTTACTTTTAAGTGTTTACTAAGTAACTTCTAACTTCACGAGTTCATTTTTTCCATGTCATGTTATTGTATTGTCACTTTAAATACATTTTTGTTTGAAAAATTGATTTAAAAAAATTAATAATAATCGGGAATATCAAATATAATTTATAAATTATAAGTAATAAATACTAATTTATAGAAATAGTTATAATATTGCATATTTGATATTCGCAGAATATAATAATAATACAAATTTTATATGTATAAACAGAACAGTTTTAGGAGTAGCTACGTTATGGAGAAAAAGAAAAATATAGCTACTAAAACAGTATTCCATTCACATTTGTATACTCTTTAATCATTATTAATTAATAGTTATTACGTGGGTATAATTATATGTTCATTTATTCCTAGAGTTACAATTAATAAATGGAATAATTGATATTTTATGTGTAAGTAATTAATAATATTCTAATAATACATTTGGTTATTAAATTTAGTTTATCTAGTTGTGGACTGTCAATAAACAAATAAATACAAATAATTTAATTATTTTGTTGGCTTTATTAAAGTATTAAAGTATATAAGTACTTCAGTAATGAATTTTAATATATACAATTATTTTAAAAATTAAAACTGCAAGATCCCTATTTAATTACTATGTCATTTGTTAAAAAGGCATAATTATTAATTTTGGTAAAAACTATAGGATAATAATTCAATAAGACTAGAATACTTTACGTCGGTATAAAAAAATATAAATATTATACAATTTAAAATTATACTATTTATTTAAATAATATTTTAGTATTTACCAGCACTTGCTCCAGTCACTATGAAGCTCTTGTCTTTGAAATATTCTTCCATACTCGAACGTTGTTCAGCTATGCCTCTGGATAGAGTTCCCATAACGTAACGGTTGTTCAAATGTGTTGATAATTTGTTGATAGAGCGAAACATTTTGGCTTTTTTTTATTCTTAAACTAAAATCAGAAAAAAGGAATTTAAAAAAAGGGAAAGTACAGGTAACTGTTTGTTGTACAGTTGGTGTCGAGTGTACCTCCGCCATTGCGTAAGTCACTGTAATGTATATGTGTTAAATTTTAATTTAATTATAAATCATTGTATACGAAAGCATTTTGGGCAAAGACGGTCTGTCAGTCTATATTACTGTAAGTATATTATTTTTTAAGATATATTTTATATTTTTGTTGTTATTATAGTATTTTTTATTACTACCTATGTGTACATATTAGTACGGAAAGTCGAATTAATTTCTGCCAAAAACACTATGTAGCATTTTATTATTAATATTCAATGATTATAAAAGTAGGCGCCTATATATATATATATTTAACATATTCTATTGTTATTCAGTTTTGACTTGTGAGTGAAAATCGACTTACCGTAGAACGGTGTGAATTGATTCCTGGTATAAATAGGCAATATAGCTTACTATTAATCTATAATATGTTTTTTATGTGTCATTGTGTTTATAAAATATAATAAAATAAATTCAAGTCCCCACGAACAATATTTTTTAATTACAATAAAATAACAAATCGTGTTTCTACGTATAAATATCTATAATTTCATCCAAATTTAAAGTTCAAATGTCTATTGAAAATTGAGCTGTTTATACATTTTTTAGAATTTTTTTTGGTTTTAGAATGAACTACTATTATGAGAAACCTTGAATTAAATTTCCAAGCCTGAGCTATAAAAACCATTTTATTAACTATTTTTAAATACCTATAAAATAATTTCTAAATTTTCGTGATTTTGACGAATTTTGAACTTCTAAGCATATAAAAATTTAGTGCCCTTGGATTTAGAATATTTTTAAGTCGCTAAAAGAACTACTTATGAGCATCCCGTATACAAATTTTAAACTTTTTAAGGAGCCCAAACATTTTCATCAACACTAAAAAAAAAAATGTAATTTTTTACATAGCCGGATAGGTTTGTTAATTTTATTTATTAAAATAGAATTTTTTAGTTATTTTATCAATCTTCATATTGATCAATTCTCGAGACTATAGTTATTTCTTATTACTTATTACTCTTATTGTTACGATAAATAAAAAAAAAGTTAATAAACTGAGGTCGAAAACTATTATAAAGTTTTCATATAAAAATAAATAGGTAATAAAGTTTTAAGTTATTTATTTTGAAGGTTCCTAGATAAGAAGTATTCTAGTTTTTTGAAACTCACCATGAAGGTTTTACCCAGACAGTGCCATTATATAATGGCAGTTATTTAGGTATACTATATGTCTGTATGTCGATATATATCTATCACCCAACAACATCACTGTAAAACCAACGCATTCCTCATTTTGCTCAAAGTCTTATATAAAACTCGATATTACGGATACATTTTATTGCTGTATAATATTATGTTATATATTAGGTACCTACAACATAATATTTTTCGTAATCAAAATGAATATTATTTTCATTTTAACGCAAAATATAAAATATTGAAAAACCGAACATGCAACTATAGTCTATAATACAAGTATGAAGTAGGTAAATAACGTAGGTATAATCAATAATCTTCATACCTCGTGTTAAAATAAAATATTGAAAAAAACCTGTCATATCTACCTACGATCATTAAATAAATAATTTCCTTAATAATTAGTGTTTTTTCTTAATTTTAACCTAAATTCTGGTAATTTGGTAGGTATGACTTAAAAGATTTTTTTTTAATTACGTACAGGATTGATGCTCACAATATTATACATTTCTATTATTATGAACATTGTATTTTATTGTGTAAACACATTTCACTTTTAAATACTATTTTATACAAATGTTCTTCATTAATCTTTCTTTTTGTAAAACCGGTCTTTAAACTCCTTTTGGATATGAACTCTTCCACACGGATTTGACGATAAAGAGGGTTGTATTTTTAAGTAATATACATTTAAACATAAAACAATAAATCAGTAATACAATAATTGAACTTCAAACCAGGTCGGTAACTCAATCGACCATTTTGTTTTATCCAAAAATTGTAGGTTACCCCTTGAGAAAAAAAAATTCTTATATTCATCACTAGGTACTTCATAGATGTTAGTATTTTATCGTATTCAATAGTGAAGATGATAAACAGAAATCCGAAGTCGTTTGATGATAGTTGTCTATTGACCTAAAACCCATCTAGAATATTAAAGAAATATTCTTCAGATTATTGTGGAAAAAGGTAGACACAACAACAACAACAACAACAAACAACGCACACCATGAACCTTCGTCGGCCATCGCCGCTGTTGTTGGCGACGGGCCGTTAAGTAAAAAATTTTTTTTGTCTCAGCTCCTACCACTACTCGAAGTGGTAAGAGAGAATATAACACCGGATTTAATCTTTATTTTAAATAGTATAATAATATTATGCTTGTACATACTATTCATATAGGACCAATGCCGAAGTGACGATCACACATAATGTATTATTATTCTATAGTCAAGCGATAATAACTTGGCCTCAATGACCAAAATGCATGTAAATACAGACTGGGAAATACAGGCTGACTTCATCAGAAAAATCTCTATTTTCCGGTAGGTCTATGTCTACCCACAGGTACGATAAATTCGATTACCTTCATCCCGCGGCGATTTCCCAAGTTTTATAGAAGAATAATACCTAATTATTGTTGTTACCTGTATATTTTTTTCACCTACAATCAACCATAGACATAATATTATAAATAATAAATATATATTTTTATATTTCCGTGCAATCAACCAACAGCCCCGAAGTATATAATAAATTATTAACGAACACCTAAAACGATACAGCAAAAAACGGTTAACCCTCAGTAATAAAATCACCAACGAATGAAACGAAAAAGAGGCACCTTGAAATCGTACATTAACACTTCCCCGCCATCGAAAAAAATAACAACCTATACCTTCCTATTTAATATTATTCCGCATCTTATTTTATTTGTGTACACCTACTTATAATAATGCTCAGCTCTCGTTTTTTCAACCGACTGTTGTAGAAAATACAGGTGAACTGTTACTATTGCAGTACTCTTAAGCACGAATTACGAATTGCTTCTGTCTGCGTCCGGCGATAATATATTTTAACAACACTGGAACACCACTATGAAACTGTATGGTCAGAAGCAGCGACTCGAGAACACTAAGACTACGAAATACGGACCACTTGTATCGGGGAGTAGGCAGGTAGGTAGGTACGCATAGTATTCCGAGTGGATGCGACTACCCCACTATGGCACTATAATATTATACTATCTTGTCTTTGTTGAACGTTGTCTCGGTCACCGTTGCGACGGCCATACAAATCGTCCAAATCTCCGTTGTGCAACAGGTCTGTTTCCTCGACCTAGAGTGTTTAGGCTGTTCCAAGAATTGAGGTTATGTACGAAATTCGAATTTCGAGCTCCTCCATTCCGGGTATTAAATGCGATTTGAAATTCGAACCAAACATATTTCTTTGATTTTTCAATTCCGCACTAGCGTGTCATCCAGAGTCGAGACTAACGATTGTGTTTCGATGGCGAATCAAACGTTCGAACATAATGCCCATAATATTGCACAGCAAAATCCCAGGGGACATTTATATTTGAAGGAATTAGGCTCCGGGCCCCGGGGACGACCTGATAAATATTTCAGGCCGGTAAATTATGCTCGTCCGGGTCACATTTTTTTATTGCGATACGGGAAGGGACAGTTGAACTTTACAGCGACTAAGCTCAGCAAACTTTCTAAACAGTGTACCTAATAATATTTCTTTTTAATACAAACAGATGGAGTGACTACGCGCGGGTAATTTGTTTACTAGTTAGTTCAAGTGCAAGGTAAAATTTTTCTGAAATTAGTATCGAATATTTTTCACAAAGAAATCATAATAATATGAATAGCTGACAGTTTTCAAAGCCCATGGTAAAGCTTGTTGACTGAGAACCTCACGGTATTCCTGTGGGCATGGTCGTTGCAGGAAGTTGTTTTGTACTTAAACATATCTAATATAAATATGTATAATTTAAGCGTAAGGCCGAAGACTAAAGTTTTAATTTTTTTATTTTAAGCCGAGTCTTGCAATAACTAATGACTAGTGATATAATTATAATGTATAAATACCGAAAATGTTCGAAATGAACACCTGTTGATAGTTTTTGTTAGTATTATTTAAATATTTTTAATTACCTTGTGATTATAACAAAAGTACCTTTCTTATCAGTAAAAGTGATCGGAAAATATTTAAAAATACACCCTAACGGCCCATCTAAAAGTCATTATTACTACAATACTATATAATTTATTATAATATTAATTTATAATATAACAATCGTATATATAGACAAATCTATAGATGTACACTGTATAATGTCGATTCGACACGTTTTTTTAAAAACATTTTAGATTTTTCGGTGGGCCAACCTAAAGGCATTTTAAAATTTTAGTAAACCATGATGGTTATGTTATAATATGGCCTTTAAAATATCTTTACTATAGGAGGTTTACATTTGAATACCACATCGATCTATCCGAAATCCTACGATACGTTTTATATTATAAAATGTGGAAATTATTTCGCAGACATCACATTTAGACCTTATATTTTCAACGTTGCACTCAACACACACAAAATAGGCACAAAAAAAAAATCAATCATCCAAAGAATCGGATAAATATATTAATTAGTTATTTTATCATACTTTATACGACCTAAGTGTAGTGTAGAAGATTAGATAACGTTTTGTTTGTCAAACACGAGGAAACTGTATGCCATATATTAGCACGTACCTACCTATAATTCATATTATACCAAGTCATAGTAAGTTTCATAGGTGTTCTAAAACTCAGTTATTACTTATTATTATTATTACCGAGCAGAAAACGTTTTGGGACTCGTAAAACGGTAAGTTAATATTATTATATCGCCAGTGGCGGTGGATGGCGACCGTGTTATACAACAACAACAACAACAACAACAACAATAATAATAATAATATACTAATTGTTATCTGAAACTAAAACCGTTAGTGCACGCCGTGTACGTACGCTATACGACGAGTGGGCTACGTGTACGTATAGGTATAAAGGTGATTGCGATGGGGTTGGTGGCGGAGACTGATAATTAGTTGAGCGCACGTTCTAGCTGGGGTAGGTAAAATAATATAATATATAATATCAACTCGTTTGTAGACGGTGTTACTTATGCATGTGCGTGTGTGGGTGTGTGGGTGCTGTGGGGTGTGCGTGTGGTTGGAAGTTAACGGCGGCGGCGGCGGCGGCGGGCGAAACGACATCATATTTTATTGCGTGGCAGTCGCCAGAGATCCGTTCGCTATAATATTATAGCCATAATATCGTATAATATAATTAATATATATATATATATATGATAGGTACCTACCTACATACTACGTGTACGTGTGTACGGAATTCTGGAATCTTGTCTGCAGTAAGTGAGTACGTGTAGGCACTATTATAGACTATGTATATTATAATAAAGCCACTAACGTCGTGTGGCACGTTAAATAAATCGCTGCACTTACACGCGTGCGCAAATACACTATTGTCATATAGGTATTACTATACATTGGGTGTATATTATTATGACTTGTCTATGGATTTATATGCAATAACATATTTTTTTCCTTTTCACTCTTTATGGACTTTTGTAAGTAATCCTTACGGATCATAATATAGTAGTTTGAAATTAATGACGAAATTTGTTTTGCATATTTCTGCATATTTTTAGGAAATCCAAATTGTTTTGCATAATATTAAAGCGAAAATAAAAAAACAAAAGGTGAATAATAATATTTGGCCAAGCAGAAATATCAAAAATAAATTTTGTAGGCAGCACTAATGCAGTACCTCTTGATCACGAATAAAATGTAAAAAATATAAGAATTTATGATATTTTTTTTATAATATCTAAATATACCTAAACATGTTTGATGTGAACGATTTAAATTTTCTTGCATATTTGTTGCATGTTAATATTACAATTTTGACCGCATATTTTGATACTGTTTAGTACATAAAAATCCGAGCTCTATTGTAAACTTTTATCATAATATTGGTAAGTGGTTTAGTGGTATACTGCAGTGTAGGCATCCGGGTAGTTGTTGCGGTGCCCCGCGGTATTATGATAACATCGTACCGCACCGTACACTACTCCAAATTTGAAATTGAAAATTAATACAAAGTGTTTTCACGTCGGCTATTGTTAATGAAATTATATTTTATATTTTAAACCGAGGTCTTTTATGCTTACAAGGCTGCTCCCGGCAATCAAGATGACAAAAAATCTCGTTCGATGTGGGCTTAATATTATTTTATTACAAGTTACAACGGATTTTACGACCTACTGCAATACATATAGTAATATAGTATATAATCTACATACTTATATATTGGTCCAAAATTTTTCAATATACTACCAATAGAAATTAAACACAGCAACTCTTTTAATATTCTTAAAAAAAAAATTACACTTTGGCTATTACAAGAACAAAATAGAGAAAGACTCATAACAAACGTATAGGATTACTGCATTATTTATCATATTAGTTGTACGACTTAAGTAATTATTGTTAATTTTAGTTTTATAATGCCATATTATATTATATGATTTAACAACACAATGTTTTACATAATACTATATTATATAAACAAAGAGAAAAAACATATATTACTTATATTATAAATATTATAGTTAGATATGTGAGAAATGTATAAATATTGCAAATTGTAAGTATTTAATTTATAAGAACTATTTAACGTATTTATATTTCAAATTGTGAACTCATGGGTCCCCATACGAACATGTTCAGTGGGGCCCATTATCTTCTTGAAGAATAAAAATAAAAATAAAATAAATATTCATCCATTGCACCGTAACTCATCTCAAATGAGCGTAATATTAAGGGGTATGATTGGCCCCCTAATTTCTATACATTCTCGTGGATTGTCTTTATGTACTGTTTTACAAACGTTTGGGAAATTTAATAGTGATGAAAAATCGTAGGTTTTGTTCAAACTCTATAGACGACAACGATAATATAATTGGATAAAAATTAATACGTTTATACCTGACATAACTTTTTGTAATTTTCGAAATGAAAAAACAATCATTACAGGTTTATACTTTATGATGAAAATATTGTTTTGACGAAAAACTAAGAGGATCACATCAATTGTTTATTTATCTTTATGTATTTTAACAACGTATATAATACAATAGTTAAGTATAATATATAAGTATCGAAATCATTGTGATTTTTATCAAAAGGAAAATTGAAATTATCAACTACTCAGAAGATTAAATGAAACCTCTCCGTTTTGTTGAATGTGACATTAAAAAAAATCCAATCTGGATGACAAAAAAATACCAAATCAATGTGTATATTAAAAATGATTTTTATTTTAATTTAAACATTTAAACAAAATGTAGATCACTATTATAGCTATAAATCTAATATAATTATTTTCATTATCAAGTAATTTATAACTAAAATTGCATGACGAAGTTCCTCATTGAGACACTTCTTTACTCTTTTATTTTAATGTCATTACTTTTTTTTATTATTTTGTCAATTACGCTTAATGCTCAGCTCTGTAACAAATAGCAAAATAAAGAATTTTGTTTGAAAAAAATTTAATTCATCTTCGAGTGGACTCGTCTACGTTATATTAAAAAAAGAACTTGACGTGGTTAAACATTTACTATTACCTAGGTACTTGAAACGTGTTCGTTCGCAGAATTATAAAGAATTGAAATTATTTTTCATGAATTTAATTTAAATATAAATAATAATTTGTAGACATTATAATATAATACATAGTATGTTTTTGTTGTACATTTAATCTATTTTGTTATTGCTGTATTTCAATATTTGCATAGAGTATAGGTATTAGGTACCTATCTGTTTACCTACTGAAAATATACATTTTATAATATGATTTAACAATGTTATCACCATCACTTGATCAATCTGTATTCCCATACTTTGCAGCTCTTAAATTATGTAAATAATATTAGGTACTTAATTAAATAAAGCACTTATTTACAATAGGTATGTATTGATAATAAAAAAAATTAAATCAAGTGTTCACTTTTTCTAAAATAATTAATTATTTCTAGCACAATAAATGTATGGCCAAATGTATCATTTCTTAAATTGAATTAAATTTTTAAACAATGCCATGTATCGGATGACTG